AAATGTTTTAGCTCATTCTAAAATATCTAGTTTGACAGAGGAGCTCATGCTAATCACAACACTATATGGGTTTTTAGGGGTTGCAGAAACAACAGCCAAACTAGAAGCTGAAATATTAAGCCCCACCATGCAATGCATTCTGGGTTCTTCTAAAGTGGATTTCTGATGTTCACAACAGTGTTAATATTTCTGGCCCTTAGCAGGATCTCAGCGATGAAGTTAGAAGCTGAGCTGTGATTTCTGTCTTGAAAACGCAGTTTGAAGAAAAACAAAATAAAACATGGTTAAAATATAAGACTTTAAAAACCAAATTTAAGCCTTCAGAGCAGCTTTAAGATGAAACTCCATCATCCAACAGAGCGACTGAGATGGCATTTTAAAACTGAGCTGAGTTCAGTCCAAAAAAGAGAGTTTAAAAAGTAAAAGCACAGAACATCAGTTTGAAAATTGACTTAAAGCAAATTCCTGGTGAGCAGAGCATCATCAAAGCTAAACTTCATCCAACAGAAACTCAGAGACGACTTTTTAAATTTGAGCTGATTTATTAAAAAAAACTGAGCTCAAAAAACATTAAAATGGTTACATTGAGGGAAGAGAAACTGAGGATATGGTGAAGTCCCAGATTGATAGGAGATTCCCAGCCAGACTTTGACTAGATTGAAAAATGAATGACAATCTATTGCAGCGACATGAAAGGAGTGGGATAGGACCACCAAATGAGGTGGGGACCTGCAGAAAATTGGAGGGAGTTTTTGGATCATGTTTGGTAAAATGAGAACTTATTGTTGTTCACTGATTTTCCCTTCTATGCACCACCGAGGTCCATTTAACAGTTTCAGGACCTGAGCAGCACCAATCAGCATCATTTGCTTGAGAAATGATGAGATTTGGTTCAGTATAAAACAGGCTTCAATGCCGAAAATGATCAAATGTTACAAAAACCATGCAAATCATACAAATAGAACAGAAACACAGTAACATTCACCATCCAGCACTGGGCATCACTTCGCTCACCTTATGGGTGACCAGAAGTGAAGCAAAGATTGTAGAGCAAGTTCAGCTTTTACTCTTCTCCTCATTTTGTTCCCTCTTTAAATGGACATTATTCACTTTCTTTGTTGTGTGACATGGTGAGGTAAGCAGCAGCAGTGTGAGTATCAGCACATTCCATAAAATAATTTTTGAGATACTTTGAGTGAGCAATTATTGAAATGGATTAGGAATCAATGGTAGCTATGTCAAGGCAATAAGCCACGCCCCCCAAACTCGGTGGGTATGGGGGGCCGCTCCCATAAATCACTTCCAGTTATAGATTTTTGAAATACTTCAAGTGAGCAAAGTCATTTTCTGGTTTTCTTCCTATATGCCTGACCCTAAAAAGGACGAGTTTCTTCTGTTCACTAGAACAGGAGATTCTAGAAATACTAACATTAATATATCTGAGGGCTTTAACTCCATTGACAATATAAATACTGAGACAGACTGGCGACCTGTCCTGGTGACCCCGCCTCTCGCCCGGAACGCAGCTGGAGAGGCACCGGCACCTCCCGACCCGGTTAGGGAGAAGGGTGACCAGAAAATGGATGGAAAATATAAATATTTCCTGCTTATCTGTAGAACAGCTAAGGAGCTACTCTAACTTTCACAAAACAATTTGGGGAATATTTTTTTGAAGTCCAGATCAAGGGTACTAACAAGGGGAAGAAGTTTGACCCCAGATATGGAAACATCTTCATGGCTCAGTGGCAAACAGGCATTCAGGAAATGCATCAAAGAAACCGTCTTCTACTTCAGATACCTGGATGATATCTGGACATCAGAAGTCACTCAGAGGAAGATTTTAAACATTTCACTCACACATTGAACCACCAGCATTAAAGCTGTAGACATTTTAGAAACCACCACATAGAAAGACTCACAATTCAAGGCCAAACATAAACTTGATGTTTGTCTGTTTGGAGCCCACTGACATCAGTAAAAGCAGATATAACCCAAGCACACCTAGGCAGGCCTAATTAAATCACAGACACTAAGATTCCACTTCATTTACTCTGCAGATTTCAGGGAGTCCTCTTCAAGGCCTTTCTTCTGAGGAGAAACTCCAGGACCTTCCTGAGGGGATGCAGAGCTTCTTTCCTCCAGTCCAGCCAAGCGGAGAGCTCTGCTACTCGCCCTCTTATCACATTTTCACCCTCTGTCAGCCAGGTCCTTACCAAGATCAAGTTCCAATCAAACTGCTCAGTTACCAAATAAAGGAATTATTGCAGTCTACAGAAGGAATAAAAATCTCAGATTGTTTGGTTAAAGCAGAGGTCGGCAGCCCAACATGTTGAAACCCAAAAAACGAAAAACAAATCTGTTTGGAGCCGCAAAAAAGTAAAAGCCGTATATAAGGCTTTTATATAAGGCAAAACAGGCTCTAGGTGTTTATATTAGCGTATTATCAAAATGACTAAGTGTATACATAATTAGTATTCATGATTAAATGCTGATCTATTAAGGGGGATCTAATCCACCCGGATCAAGCCTGCGCGGTGCCTGGGAGGAAGATCATGGACAGCCTGGTTCTGATCCGAGACACCATCTGTTTTGGAAGAGACAGAAACATTCGACTGATAGTCCTAAATTTAGATTTCGAGAAAGTGTTTGATCGGGTCTCACACCAGAACCTCATCCAGGTACTGCGAAAAATGGGTTTTCCCAGGAGGTTCGTAGCATGAGTGGGACTGCTGTACCGAGACATCTCCAGCAGATTTCTGGTGAACGGGTTTCTGACAAAAGCAGTGGAAGTGAACAGCATGGGGTGTCCGTTATCTGGCCTCCTCTATGTGGCCTGCATGGAGCCGCTGGCGCAGGTCTTGAGAAGAGACCCACAGATTTTAGGAGTCACGGTACCGGGGAGTGGAGGGCAGGAGGCCAAATGTCTTTTATATATGTATTATTTTATCATTTTATGCAGAGATCTGTTATCAGTGGAGAAGGTGTTTCAACTAACAGAGTGGTTCGGGAAAGCATCAGGTTCAAAACTAAACAAAAAACAAAAGCATAATTTTATGGCACATGGAGGAATAGCAAAAAATCAAGACTGTCGCTACCATTGATTGCTAATTCATCTTTTATTTTATCTGGAACTCCAGGAGGGAAAGATTGAGAAGATACAAGATGAACAGAAAATATTGGGGCTGAAATTTGATAAAAACAGAGGAGGAGAGAGAAACTGGAAAGACATAACAAGAAGAGTAAAACAAAGACTGGGCTTCTGGGAGATGAGAAATTTAACAATAGAAGGAAAAATTTTAATAATCAAGGCTGTGATTTTACCCCTGTTTTTAATAACCAGTTCTGTTTTTATTCCTTCTAGGGGAGAGTTTTTAGTGCTACAACGAACCATCTTTTATTTTATCTGGAACTCCAGGAGGGAAAGATTGAGAAGAAATATAATGTTTAAACCAAAGGAGAAAGGAGGAAAAGGAGCTCCAGAACTGTTTTTATTTTTAGGCAGTTTTTATACCAGCACTCACCTTAAACAAGCACTGAACATCTCTACAAACCAAAAGACAAATGCCATGAGCAGATTCTGGATGGGCACCTATTTAAGAAAGTAAAAACTGATGAAAAGTGATTTTAGAACACCTGTAGCTTTTCACTTCCCACCGGCTTATGCTCTTATACAGAGATTTTTAGAACATTTTAAACTGGAAGGAGAGGAGATCAGGATTCTAACTAACCACCGTTTTATTATCTCTGTTGTGCAGGACCTGGAACCAGGACCAGGAACCAGGACCGGGAACCAGGACCGGGAGCCAGGACCAGGAACCAGGACCGGGAACCAGAACTGGGAGCCCAGACCAGGAGCCAGGACCGGGAACCAGTGACTCCAGTGCACGGCCTCCTGTCCTCCCAAACAGAGTCCAGGATGGATGTCATGGATGGCGGCTCATGGGATCCTCTCAGTCAGAGCCGTCATGCATGACTGCAACGTCCATCTGCCCCCGACCCGGTTGTGGCGCTCTGGAGTCCGTGAGGCATCTGCTGAGAATCTGTGGGCGACGGACAGCTCCTTGCAATTCCCACACTTGCCGGCAGGGGGGGTCCTCGATGCACATCTTACGCTGTACGGGGTGAGCACCGGAAAATCACAAAAGAAGACTTTGCAGTTTTTGGAAGGACTGGATGACTCCGGACTGGATCGGGAGTCACCCCGGTCCTGCACAACTTTTAACTGTGATGGTTTTTATTCTTGTTCTTTTCTGCTTTAAGTTTAACTAACAAAATTGTATTTTAAAAAAATGAAAACAAGCCTCTGTATAACTGCATAAATGCCATGTTTTTAAAATGTCGCAAGTATCAATAAATTTTTTTCCAAAGAAAAAAAACTAGCAGGCCAGGAGGAAGAGGTGTTCTCTGCTCATTCTGTGTTCAGTGCCGATGGTCAGCTTGGTGGGGCGCTGACCAGGTGCATGCAGAGGGGGGTGCTACGGGGGCTTGAGCACCTGCCCCTTTAGTGGTCTCTGCACGGCTCTGGCGCTGACGCGCCCCATCAGAGAGAATCGCACACAAGCAGATCTCCAGCTTCTTGTTACAGCTTCTGTGGCCTAGCGCCACCCAGGAGGGTGAGCAAAAGCAGCCATAGCAAGCAGGAGCTATGATTGATTTATAAAATAAATATGACCTCAAAATCATATAAAATAGAATGAAATCTGGTTAAGTTGAGGGAAGAGGCCACTGAGGGTTAGGGATAAGTTCCAGGCTGTTGATGTAGTTTCTAGCACACATCAAAATAAAATGTCATTTATTGTTTTAAAGGTTGAAATTGTTTTTAAGTTTTGCTGCTGTACAGCAAATGAATTTTTCAATCTGTTTTTGTGAATTGACAGTTGCAAATGAGACTAACAGTTTGTTCCTTCTTTTTTAACATAACAGTTGAAATTCTGCAGATGAAGATGAGCAGCTTTACAACAGTTCATATCCAACAATTCAGTGACAAAAACAAAACCAAGTTTGTCTAAGATGTAAAATATTTTATTTTCTGTAAATGATTCTAAATCAGATTCACCATATTTCCAGAAACATCACTTTGTTTACATCCATTAATAAAAAAACAGACAAGGCTTCATGTCGTCTATCTGTACACAGCAGAGCCTGAATAAAGCTCGTATTTACAGGGCGGCAGACGCCTGCAGCCTAAACTCTGGGAGGAGTAACAGGCGGGGAGGATGCTCTAATCTTTGTGTCTGACTTTTTACTTATGGTACAAATATTTACACACTGCCACACTGGACCTCAAATGCACCGTAGTTTTAGAAAATAGCTTAATTCATTAATAAATACAAAAAGAAAAAAATATCTTATTTTACAGGAAACTGAGGAGGAGGAGGAGGGGAGGACCAAGCGGTGGAATCAGGTAGGTTTGTGTGTTTGTCATTTTATGTTTTAGTGCAACTTAAAGGACGACGACACATCCGCTTATTTCAGTGGCGTTTACACTCACATTTACAACCAATTTACAGCGAGGACCAGCCTCTTCGTAACCTCCGCCTCGTCAGCACAGATTCCACCCACAACAGATTATAAATGTGTCCCATTTGTAAATGAATTAAGTATAAACTTTATTTCCTCTGATCTAATCAATCAGTTTTATTATGGTGTCATGCTCGCTCTGCCCATAGATCAGTGATGATGTCATGTTAACTCCACCCACAGAGCGCCGGAGGCCTCCTTGCTCTCAGTTCATCCATTTGCGGCAGTTCACGGCTCCACAGTGACACGGGATCTTGTGCTGGTCATCCTCCAGGTCAAACTTGTAGTCGTAGCATAGCTGAAGGGAGCGGAGCCAACATGATGAGCCAATCACATTCAGGCTGCCTGATGATGGACAGATTGTTGCGTGGACCCTACCTCCTCTCCTCTCTGAATGCGTCTGCAGGAGCTGATGATGATCTTGTTCTCCTTCTCCACTGTCACCACCTCAGTGATGCAGTTCGGAGCACAGGAGTGGTTGATGTACCTGTCGGTCACACAAAGACCCGCCCCATTCCCAGGTGAACACAGAGCAGGCGCCGCCAGAAGCTTCAGATCTTGGTCTCTTACCTCGCCGGTCCTCCGGTGATGGTTGCGTCGATCACATAGTCGTTGTCGATCCGAAACATGTACACGCCTCGGTTCTGTAAACACCAGAACAGCTGATTTACATGAGCTACAAGACAGAAGTAAATCAAAGGAGCTGATTGGTCGTGTTCTGGTCAGAATTGACAAATCAGATCAGGGGAGCGACCAGGGTCAGGTGTCTCAGGTACCTGGGCCTCGTACAGCCTCTCCTTGCGGTTGGCGACCTCGCTCCTGATTATTGTCCCAATGTACTCGATGACCATGGTGCATTTCTCGATGTCTCTGGCGGCGTACAGCCCCAGTCCCTGTAAACACATGCAGAGTTAGCAGCCGGCCCTTGGGGGGTGCCATGGCCTCCTCTCAGCGCAGGCTCACCTGGATGCCAGAGCGAGCCAGGTACACGTTGCTCTTCCACTCCGCCTTCATGCGGCGGTACTGGGCCGACTTGGAGTGGCGGCCCTGATGGACAGCAGCCACCGACTCGCCAGGAGACAAAGACAGAACGCCGGGAACGAGGCCGACGATGGCCCCCACTGAGCCCTGACACCTGGGGGCCACACTGGTCAGCAGGTAAGGTCTGGGAAAGACAAGGCAGGTAAGGTAGGTGTGGATTCCTCAACGTTTTGGGCAAAACATGTTCCTGGTGGTTCCAGACTGGTTCTGAACTTTTGGACCTTCTCTGGTCACATATTAATTGTGGATGTTCTCACCATGTCAGAAATCTTCTACGATGAAAGCCAGACATCACTGACGCTGTAGTATTTGATATAACATTAAACTAATTGGTGCAGCTTTTTCAGCAACGGGCTCGTGTCTCACTATGTCCAAGTACAGGAAGCAGGAACCCTGGTTCTGGTTTTCCTGGTTGTGTCCAGAACCAGAAACTGAACACCAGAAGTCAAGGAACTATTTAACAAGCCTAACCCCCCAAAACTTTGCTGGCTCCACCTGGAAGTAATCAGGAACAGGAAGTGATGTAAACACAAAGTGTTCTCTGATAAGTCGGCCCCAATGTCTTCAACTTTGGGAGGTCGGCAGTCAACAGGCATTTACATATGAAGCTGATCTCATCCAATCTTAACTACCTGAGCAAAGGTAGGAGAGGTTTGAATGTTAGCCCCGCCCACTGGGTCACGTCTGCATGCTAACGATAGTTAACAATAGTCACCCTACTCTTGCCAACTCAGACACTTTCTTGACATTTCAAGGAACATTTTAGAGAAAAAAAGTGTTGCTCAAAATTTGAATTGGTCAATTGATTTTTTTTAAAGATCAGTGATTTCAAATCGAGCAGAAACTGCGATCGATGCAGCTCCACTTGGTACCTCTTGGCCTGACAGGCCTTGGGTTCAGAGCGAGCCGAGCCGGACGGGTTGAAGGCCAGAGGCCATTCCATGAGGGGGTTCCTGCCGTAGCGAAAAGTGTAGCGCTCACACGCCTCCACCCCCGGCAACTGGGGAGAGAGAGAGACATGGTTCGGGTTAAGGTGCGTGTCTCACTGTCAGGCGTTTCTCTGTCTCTGTGTGTCTTTCAGTTGGACCTACAGACTCGATGATCCGGGTCACGGCAGATGTCTTCAGGCCGAACAGGTCCTCTCCTTTCAGGTAAACGGGAAACAGCTTCAGAGTCCCGCTGCAGCTCCTCATCCGGGCCACCGGCTCCAGAACCTGGGCCCACGCCGCTGCACACAGGAAGGACGAAGCGGGTCAAAGAGGATCAGAGAGTCTCGCCTGGTTACCGTGGCGACTACCTGTAGGCGTGGCCCCCGTCAGGACGACGTCGTCATGACCTTTCTCCACCACCTTGACCTTGAACAGCGGCCGGCCTTCATGCTCCTCGATGTGGCACAGGTACTTGCAGCGTCTGCAGGTGGAACCGTTCGTTAGTCCCGATCCAGAACCTTATGGACTCCACTGAACCAGAACCAACAGAACTAGGACTGCTCTCTATGTCTGGCCTGATGTTCGCTCTCGTGACAGAATCATGTTTAATAAATAAACATCTAAAATCAAAACATGTTTCTGTGGCAACTGTTTGGTTTGTAGATATTTACATTAACTTATGAAATTATTTAAAGCATTAGCTTTTAGATATTCATGTCTTCTTTATGAAAGTTTCTCTAAAACATTTAAAGCTGCAGTAACTTTAACAAATCTTTCTCCATATTTTATTACGGTCACAACGTTAATATGACAGAGTTGAGCTGCTCCACTTCATCTGCACCTATCAAAAAATCAGAAGGAGGAGGCAAGTCTGAAACCTCACCTGTTGCTGTAGCGCATGCTCCAGTAGAAGCGGTTAGCATGGTATCCGACCGGGAAGATAGCCGCCTCATTGTGGAAGGCGTCCATCTGCTGTGGGAGGAGCCTGCCAACGGCGCGGAACAGCAGGCTGCCGACACGGAAGGTGTGCTGCCGCTCGCCCCGCTGCACCACGGCGGCGATTTGCCGCGCCTCGTCTCGTTGCACAAAGACTCGCCGAAATACGGCAAAGCAACGCAGCTCCGAGTCATACGGGTCGGAGCCAGGAGTGGGGTCACAGGTCTGGCCAGGTGTGGAGAACGGGGAGGAGCTGGATGACCTGTCCCCGCTCACAGGAAGAGTCCTGGGCTTATGGAGGTAGCACAGCATGGTCTTATCCTGTCAAGACACAGAACAGCGTTACTGAGCATGCTCAGACTGCTCAGGTGATCAAGGCTTGCTGAGATTGGTACCTTGAAGAAGGTGCAGTGGGCCTGCAGGGCACAGTTGAAGTGATAGGTGTTGGTGCAGCGGAGCCGGTTGCAGCCAGTTGTGGCGCCGCTGCGGCTGCAGTGGGCGCAGCGGAGCGCCAGGCCCCGCCGCAGCGCCAGCTCTACATTGATAAGTGCACCCGCCTGCGTCTCGTACACCTCACTGGACCACAGAGCGCAATTCAGGTGCACCTGCAGAACATACATAGGTTAAGTATGCTGCTACGGTTTTATGAATCCCTACAGAGCGCCAAAGGGTGGAGCTGAAAGCAATGAATGTTCCCTTTGCACTTGCACCGTTCCAGCAACAATATCAACAGAGTAACACCTGTGACATATTATGATTAATCAGCAGTTGTACAGCCTGACGTCAGCCAAGGGTTAGAATCAATACAAGGATTCTGAGTGAGTGAAAATCTCTGATCATCCAGGATTCATTGATCCATAGTTAGATATGCAGCTTTGTTCTACTTCAACCTTGCTGACTGCCAGAGTGCCGTGCTGAAAGCTCTGAATGACTCAGCATTAATCTCATAAAGAATCCTGAGCAAGTCCCTGAATGTGAAGAAACACATGACTCTTTCAGAATAACCTGACCCAGAGGATGACGCCTTGCTGTCTCATGTGGTGTGACTGAATTGTCCATTCAAGCATTTCAAAGGCAGCCAAATTGAACTACTCCTCTAACACCACAGAAACACCACGGAGAGTTCTAACACGTTTCAGTGGATGTAGACTGTGCCAGTCAGAACTGTCGGCAAGACTGAACTAGAAAAGAGATTAAATGCCCAAGCTGCCTGGTCTTCAGTGAAAAGACCTGAAGCGCTGCATCATTAAAGCTAATGGCTGTAGTCACACCACCGTGTGCTGAAGGGATGCAGAAAGCCTGCATCCATTAAGAACATGAGGTGTGCCAAACAATTGCCAAGGCGGGCAGCCTGAGCTCCATTGTTATGAGCTTACAGAGGACGTCATCTGAACACAAGATGAGCCCACAAGCACCAAATACCAGATGAGGCAAAGCTTCATCTGGTGTCACGATGAAAGAAACAGGACCTTCAACTGTAGGCATATGATTCACGCCTGCCTTGACCGACTCAAGCATAGTTGCCAACATCCAACCGTCTGTGGAGAGACGTGAAAAGCCTCTAGTGTCCCACCAGCAGGTATTCCTCAGGCACTACCTGGAGCCGACTCCTTCACTTGTGGAATGTGCATCTGCTTTAAGCCCAGAGCCATGATTTCCCACATAGAGCTGTCACCTGACACACTAAATACACTGTGAGACGTAGAGCGTGAGCTAGTCTCCACAGCAAGAGGTGACGGTGCCGCCTCCTCACTCCCACAGTGAGGGGCGGAGGCAGACAGATAGTACATCCTTCTCCACAGTCAACTCAGGGACAGGTGTGTGAGAGAAGCATCCAGCTGGCATGCCTGAAAAAAGAATTTTACTTGTGCCAATTCTTCAGACAACTGCTCAACACTTGTGCTAAAGTTCTGATCAGACTTAGCTCACCTTCACTTAGACGTAACCACAAACACTGTGGCCTCAGTCTGGTGCATGGAGTGCATGGAGTGCCAAGGCCTACGTAGGCCTGTCACAATAAATTTGGCTGAGCGATTAATTGTCTCAAAACTTACTGCAATAAACAATATTATTTGAAGACCTTCTTAAATTGATTTAATGGAAATGACGTAATGCATCCGATTTCCTGCCAAAAATAAATGCACTTTATTTTCAACAGAACATTTAACACTGAAACTGAAAAACAAAATAAAGAAACAACAATAAAATGGATTTTCAGTCTCCATAAACAAAAATGTACTTGAATAAAAACTAAACAACATAAATACTGCATTCAACCAAAAGAGTGAAGATCATAAAGTCTGTATTGTATATTCAGTAATCGTTAGATTTCAATAGAGCAGACATCCGACTGCCTGATGCAATAGTTCACACTACACAATGTTTTGCCCCAATTTACCCCTTAGGACAATCTCAGAACGTTGCGCGTTCTAAGATTGTCGCTTGCGATTTTGTAACTGATCATCCTGTAGTGTGTGGTGAGTTATGGTAGATCGTCATGGCCGCTCTGATCTAAATCAGGAGTTTTCGACATCGTTAACGCAGCCTGTTGAAGGTAGCCAATCAGAAAGCGCGGATTCCCCTCCTGCTTTCTGAGGAGAAATTACAGAAGGGAATCCCAAACATCTGACACGGCGCAATCCGACGTCCAGCGGAGATGATATGTGGAAACAACATTAATGTTTAATCAACATTTCGTGCAAAGAAAATATAAATGACAATGGGAGGAGTTGGAGCAAAATTGCTACCGCAGTTGATAAACAGGATGACTTTTCAGCTGTTTATCGTTAACGAAACATAAATAGATGATAACAATTTTCATTCAGTTAGGACTGAATGAAGCCACATGCATTGCAGGTACATTGCAGCAAAACATTGATTAATGCCTGGTTTTAAAATGAGTTAACTGGACTTGTAGCCATTATTTTGTGCCCATTGTTGAGCCTTTTTTCATTCAGTGTCATCAACAGAAAGAGAAAAAGGCCAGAAGAAACGATACAGACCATAATTAAAATGAAGTCGATAGTTTTAATTTATTGTGCGATTCATTGATTTATTGTTCATCCCATCAGGCCACCTGCCCACAAGAAGCTGCCAGTTGGGAGAGGAGGCAATAACGCCGTCGTCATCTTCAGTGAAGATCAACCCGTCACAGCCCCAACCCGGGACGTTCAGCCCCGAGGAGGGCGACACATCGACACTCCAGCCAAAAGGGAATTGGGTAGCCAACAACCGTGAAATGTTTCAAGAACCACAAGGCTGATGTCATGCAAAATGAACCGCATGCGAAAAGAGGAACAGAACCTCGGATGACGTCACGCTGCACAGCTTCTGATTGATTATCCGATATGTCACAGGTGTGACTGTTGCTATTACCGTTTGAACGGTGCATGAGCAAAGGTAGCGTTTCGGGTCTATGGCTGCAGAACTCACCCAGAGGTCCAGATCCAGGTTGAGGAGCCGGGCGGCCGTCCGTCAGACCGTCCCCCTGCTGATGGCAGAAGCAGCACCTACGCTGGTCTCTAGGCAGCGGGTCAGGACGCAGGCATGCTCCAAACTCCTTAAGAAGCTCATCCACTTCTTCTTCTGTCGGAATGGCACCCGCCTCGTTAGCAACACGGGAACCCCTGAGATGGAGACAAAGGGAACAACGAGAATGAGGGACCCGGACAGGTCCAACGGGAACAGAATCAGCCTTTTTTCATTCACCTCCAGTCACCAACATGGCCGACACCCCAAACACTTACCTGTTGAGAGTGATGCTGAAGCTCCAGCGTCTCCACCGAGAAATCTTCATCTTCTTCAAGTTTTGAGGACACAGAGAGTCATCATCTGACACGGTCCGTGGACGGGGCTTTAGCTTGACCTTCACCTGTCAGAGAGAGGAATCCATGAGCCACCTGACGGCAAGAAACCTGACGGCTTAAACTGGTTAAACTGGGGAAGAGTCTCACCTTGAGGCTGTCCGGGTGGGGCCTCGTCTCCATGGTAATAGCACAGGCAGGTGGAAAGGCCAGTGGTGGTGAGGAGGAAGGAGAGCAGGAGGAAGAGTTGGTGCGTGGGAGAGAATGGACAGCGATGGAGGACATGTTGTTGGCGTACTGGTGCTGTGTTCTGCTGAGAGGAGGAGTGGAGCAAGAACCAGCCAGAAGCTCCGGCACTGCAGCCTGAGGACACAGACAGACCAGTGCATGATGGGAAACGCAGAGCGCAAAGAGGCTAGCTAGCAGAAACCAAACAGGCTGGGTTACCTTGGGTCTTGTAGAGCGGTTCTGCTGCTCTGACTCGAATAGAGTGGAGCAGGTTGGACTGCAAAACGCCAAACCGGGTGCATCTCTGGACTCACCGTCCTGCAAGACACACTTCCCGTCAATTCTTGTCTCACTCTGCCACTCCATCAAGCCCCCTCCGCCCAGGCTCACCTGTCTGTAGTGAACTCCGTTTACCAGCAGCCTTTTGCAGCGGCTGCAGTAGCGGGGCGAGTTTCTGCCAGAAGGTGGCGCTCTCTGCAATCTGGATGCTGCTGAACCCTGAGAACAAATGGAGAGGTCATCAAGCAACGTGACCGTTGGACCCGGTCTAAAGCCACCAAGGAACACGGACCTGCGACACGGGCACACGCACTCCTGCCAGCAGGGCCAGGTTGCTCCGCTCCAGCGGCGGCGCTCGGCTCAGCTGGTAGTTGATGGGGCCGGGCACCCTGAGGAGCGCCGCCACCGCCGCCATCACACCCGGGACGTTCTGCAAATGGACTCAAGTTAAACGGAATCGCGCCGGTAACAGTAAAACTGGCCGCGCGCTGCTGGACCCTGACCTGAGAAGCGGCCGGATTCAGGGTGATCGCTATGGTAACCAGGTCTGTGCTGGAGCAGGTGGATTGCACTTGGAGTTGAGGTTCTGCCTTCACTTCCTGTTTCACTGAAAAGCCTGAAAACAGATCGAAGAGCGAGTGAACAGGTGTGGAACATAATGACTCAAGTAAGGAGCTTCAGATAGCTAACCTTTGCCCCAGGTGCAGGGAATGATGGGTAATGTAGGTGACGGGCAGGGCGAGGGCTGCTCCAGCTTGATGAAAGAGAGGTCAGGGTACCTGCTGACCTCCATGTCCACCACGCTTTCTGGAGATGAGGACGGGACAAACCCCTCCGGACTGTGGCACTCCAAAGACTCCGGGACCCTGGAAAAACCCATGAAGAAGAAAAGCACTCAGTGCATGAGTGTGGTGCTCAAGTCCAGTCCTGGAGAGCTACCGTCCTGCAACTTTTAGATGCAGCCTTACTCCAGCAGACCGGGATCAGCTCTGAACAGGTCTGGCAATGAGCCATTCATTTGATTCAGGTGTGTTGGAGCAGGGATGGATCGCATAGTTGCAGGATGGAGCTCTCCAGGACTGGACTTGAACCCCTGCTCAAGTAGAACTCTGAGGGGGCGGGGCTTACCTGAGCTCCTCCTGGTTGTTGTGGGGCGGCGTTGGCAGGGATGCAGGGACATCTACGGTCTTGGAGGCGTGGTTTAGATTGAGAAGCTCACCCTCTTTGTGCTTCAGAGTTGGGAAGCCTGTCAGTAAGGGGACAATAAGGAGCCATCAGCACAGGTGAAGACTTTTGCATCCCAACACAGCACCGGAAGCTCACCTTCCTGCTCACTTAGTTCCTTCCTGGTCAGTTCCTCCATCGTGGCGAAACCGTTCACCATCTTCTGTCTGCTTACAGGTGGAGGTGTGGGGGGCAGAGATGCTGGAGGTGTGGGGGGGTTACTGAGGTTGTTCTGAAGGAGACAAGGAGACGCAGCACATGAGTGGAGAGCAGGTGCGGTGTGGTGTCAGTGTGGGGTGCTGCAGCGTACCTTGTAGATTAGTTGGGAGTAGAAGTCTGAGACACCATCCAAAGAGGCATTCCCAAAGGAGCCTCTCAGCAGGGAGTCTCTGCCTATAGATGAGCTGCCGTATGGGGGGAAGAGGCTCAGGTCTACACCCAGGATGGGCTCCATGAGTGGCAGCACTGACAGCTGAGGAGAGGACCAGTAGAAGGTCAGCAGGTAGACGGCATTAATCGAGACAGGAGCATCAGGAAGGAGGCGGGGCTCTACCTGACTCAGCTGTTTCATCAGTGAGGCAGAAGAGGAGCTCTTCTCTTCATCGTCCTCCTCCTTCCTCCGCCTTTTGGACTTGGATGGAGCTCTGTCTTTGTCGGGTAGAGTCAATCTCTTGCTGCGCTTCATTTTCTTTGGACCATCCACTAGTGGCACCTGGAGGATGCAAAAACCCTCAGCATCACACACAACATTCAGAGGACTTGTTATGTCTGACCAGAAGGTCAGGGCTGCTCCAGCTTGATGACTTACCATGTTGCCGTGGAAATCTAGTTCATCATCTTCCTCGGATCGCACGCCGTCATTGGACAGCTGGCGCTGTGCAGCCGGCCTGGAGGGAGTCGTCATCGTTCCAGGCGACGTTTTGTCCCTCAGAAGGTGTCGGAGCAGCTCCTTCCCTCCATCTCCCCCCTGAGAGGCGGGGGAGGAGAAGCAGTCTTCCCCAGCCTCCTCCACCTTCACAGGGATCCCCCTGCAGGGCCGCGCCTCCATCAACTCCTCCTGGAAGCATAATACCCAAATGGTAAATGGTTTATTAAGTCCAAGGACTCCACTTTTCTCTACAAGCAGAAGGACTGCATTTACTGACCTTGACCTCCAGGCTGCCCCCAGACACCGGGTCTCTGTGGCCCTCCACGATGCTGCCGCCCTGTTGCCTCTCTATGTCAGGTGAAGAAGCCGGGCCAGAGAAAGCAGAGTCCGGTTGGTGGGTGGGCGTGGAGCAGGACTTGTCTGAGACAGCCGGAGTGGGTGGAGCTGTGATATCAGCGCGTGGCGATAGAGGAGTTCTGGCTCCTTCCTCATCCCTGTTGGATCTCCTGATCTTTGGTTTGTCATCAGGGGTGATATCAGCAAGGGAGGCAAGGCTTCCAGAAGAGGAATGGGGGTGTGGGGTCAATGATGGAGATGAGGACGAGTCATGTCCTAACAAGTGAGGACTGATCCCTGCTGGACGCAGCAGTCCCAACATCTTGGGCCTGAACTGGAAGCTGCCTTTCTCTGTGGCAACATCAGGACGGAGAGCTGCGCTGGGGGCGGCCCTGGGGGGCAGGGAACCTCCTGGGAAGCCCTGGTGCAGGCCGGCGCCCCCGGTGTGCCCCTGGACTTGATGCCTGGAGGCCGAGGAGGAAGGAAGGAAGTCCAGTCCAGGTTCAGCGCTGCAGAACGCTCCATGGGACAGATGGTCCTCGCTGCTGACCGGTCCAGCTCCTCCACCAGGAACTAGTCCACGTTTCCCAGGAACACCAGCTGCTCCGGAACCACAGAGGTCCTGCTGCTCCAGACTCCACTGCAGAGCGCGCTGACGCTCCACCTTACAAAGAACCAACACAGAAGACAGGAAGTGACAACTAAATACAAAGACAACTTTTGGACTGCTGCTTCTGCTTCTCCAGTTCTGGTCAGTTTATCCAAGACAATAATTGGGCTGAAAAAAAATCCAACTAACTCAACTATCAAGAACATAATTTCAATTTGACTTGCTCCTACTATCAGCATTGGGTGTAGATCTAAAATCTAGTTTGTTCCCAGATCCCCGACAGTGACTGAAGTTGTATCCAACATAACCACAGTTCACAGAAACAGCACCAGTCGGTTGGTTTTAGTGTAGAAAGTCACCTTGCAGGTTAGAACAGTGAAAGCGATGCAGACAGAAGACACAAACTACAAAGTCCTGGATGAAAAAAAGCCTGCAGTTCAAAGGTGATCAGTACACTTGTGTTGTCAGGGTCTCCTGACAGAAACCCTCTCATATTCAAAATATCTTGAAAGATCTTAATGTTCTTGTTATTAAAGGTCAGGTTCCTCTATATGTAGCTAACTGGTAAGTTGCTACAGCAAACTTACCTTCACAATAAAGTTAGTTCAGTATGTTGAACACTGTAAGGAATATGAGACATATGTTGAATATATTTGCACACTTAAAATAATTATAATCAGAGTTTGAAATGAATTTAAATATGAAACATTGAAATGTACTTTATTTTAAAAACCAACACCTTCTACTGCGTGTCAGGTAGCAGAGCTGCTTTCAGGCGTGGAGCTCAACAAGACCGGTCCGATGTAAAGGCTAAAGACTGTTTAGAGAGGCTCAGATGGACGCATTTGAGTTCACCGATGCTACTGCTAACGCATGCTCCATTTAAACTACAGTAACATGGATGATTATGGTTTGGCCTTGCAACTCTTTGGACTCGTTTTGAAGGGAACTGCAGAGCTTCGTGTCCAGGGATTCTCCGGTCAGCCTCATTTCTGGTTGCACTTTCAGATGAGTTTATTTAAATATTTTCAAGAGATGAAGGGACTTAATTGCAGCATGTCCTCCACCCACTGGCGCCACTTCCAAGCCATGCTGTTACCTCCTGCATCAGCTGAACCCTCTGCCGCTCCTGTTGCTCTCTCAAGCGCTCCCTCCTTTCACGCTCCAGGAAACCTTCGCTGAACGGGTTGTTGTCATCAAATTTCACCTGCAGAAGGAAATAGCAGATGGTAGCAACACAAAATTCCAAACACATCCATTGAAACATTTGATAGAATCTACAACTAAAAAATATTTCCCAGCAGGATTTGCTCTGGCTGGTACCTGAGGTGTGGCTCCGTCCCCTGGTGCTCCATTGGCGCCCCCGAGAGAGCCCTGGGGGGTAGTTAGGCCTGGCTTTGGGGCAGTCAGGACTGGCTTCATGGGCGGAGTCGTCTGGATGAGAGGGGAGGCCCGGGGACAGTTTGGCAGGTTGGGGGGCATGTGGGCTGGAAGCTGTGGAAGCGTCCTCTGACCCATGGGAGGACCAGACCCTGGAGTCCAGCCTGAGGGGACGTTTGGACGGTGACCTGGAGCGGGGCCACCCAGGCGGGGCTTAGGGGAGACCAGGACTTGCCCCAATGGTGTCTGGGGGGCATCTGGAGCATCCTCTGAGGTTGTTTGGTCCTGTAGTCTTCAATAAGTTCAGTGTGGTCCTTCTGCTGCTTCCGGATCTGAACAAGAATACACACCGAGTCACACAGAGTCTAAGCAAGTGACCCACAGAGTCTGTGGTCCAGGTGAATCTATTTACCTGCTCCAGCTGTTTCTGGAGTTCACTGCCCTGCTGGCTGCAGCTGGGCTGCCTCTTCAGCAAAGGCTCGGCCCGCCCTCTTTGCCGTTCTCTGCTTCGCTGACAGAGCCTTCTTGGCCTTGCGGTGAGCTGCAATCTGGTCCTCTAGGAGGCGCTGCTGCATCTGCAGGAGCTGCTGCGTCTCACCTAGCCACTCCTCGTATTGCTGCCTCTGAGACTCATCTGAAAAAAAAAAAAAAAAAACGGGTTTGGACAATGAACAGCCAATCAGTGTTAAATCATGTGATTGCGAGTTAATGGGCCTAGAGGACCATTGTCCAAAACACATGAATCGTTTGACTGAATTAGCTTCTCAGTGCAGTCCTGCTAATGACTTCCTTACTGATTCAGCTATGTGGCATCAGAGATGCATCTAAAGGTGCCAAGACAGGCCTGGAGTTCGACATGTGCAATAGGTGATTCATTTAAGAGAGGGTTTAAAATAAACATTAAACATGACACCCAGGTTAAGGTGCATTAATAGCACCGGGAACACATCCAAGATGGTTGGTACAAGAATCTTATTTGCAACACATCACTGTTGATCTGGTTGTGTCACCATGATTGGAGGCTTGAAACATGATTTTATGATGTTGGTTTGTGATTATGGTCAGTATGTCCAGCATCTCAGGTCTCCTAAACCCTATGATCTCACATACAATTTCTCCAAGAAGAGCAGAATCTGTCTCAGCAACATAGCGGTCTGAGACGAAACAAGCTAAAATTAAGAGCCCAACACTGCTGGGTCAAAGTTTTTGTTAATGCAGACTCTTGTGACTATCCAACTAAAATCTGTCAAAAATACACAATAAAAATTGATGAGACTTGAAGTCAGAAATACCTGTTCATCTCCAACATCCCAACCCAAGAGGAACATGTAGGAACAGACATGTTCCTCATTCCCAACTTGTGTTCCCCTAAATGTGATATAAAGATGCTGTGAGCTCTGGCAGGAAGAGGAACTTCATGGGATGGATTTTCTTAAATTGTGTAATAAGAGACAAACGTTTTTATATTTTCCGTGCAAAATCAAATTTTTATCCATGAATGAAAATATGAGCAGGAGGATTAATAAGCAGTTAATCAGGATTAACAAGTCAGCTGTGGGTTAATTGATCTTCAGCTCTAGAGAGGACTTGGCTCCTGACCTGGAGTCAGAACCAGTGGAACAACTGGACCAATGACGGAAATGTTCTGGAATGAATATCCATCCGTCTGAAGGTCGATGTTCTCTATAGATCTTTTAGGGTAGGGTTATCAGCTGCACAGTAATAAAAGAGGAAGTTCCTCATGGATCTGTCTAAACAGGTTCTAGAGACAGGGCAACCATTTCAAACAGGGGATCCAGAACCATTAACAGGTTCTTATAATTGATTTAAATAAATGTGTCTCTGCCACGTTGAGTATGTGGATCCCCTGGGGTTGTTGTGGGAGAGGAAAATGTTGAAACTTCTCACAGTGACTGATAAACAGATAGAGTTAAAGGCTCCATGCAACAGATCCTGGAGGGGAAATGTCAGACATCCTTCCTCAACAAGGAGGCCTCTTGATTCTCTCCTTTGGGGTGAAGGAGTAGCAGCATTATGTCCCAGGAAGGGAGCAGAAATGCTACTGCTGAGCCAACAAAACATGTCTGCTCTAACCGGTGGGTTTTTTTTTAAAACAGCAGGGTGTTATAGGTCTATAACACTGGGCTACAAAAAATATTTGGACATTGTCTGTTTTTTCAACTGTTTTGCACCACAGAATCCAAATATGATATTTTTTTTCTAAATCAGGTCAGGTTTTTTTCCTAATTGATTTTTAGAAATCCAATCTCCTGACTTAATTGATTACATTTTTGAGACATTATCCATTCATATATGTTTATGTTTCTCATCTAAAAAAAGGTTTCAGGAGGAAAAAAAATGTATCTCACATAAATTAATGATACAAACTTGGATGAATGTAAATTTTTGAATCAATACTGGGTTAGGGTAAGTATGTGTAAATTGAACATTTATGTTCTCCATCTGTTATGTTCTGGTGGAATCTCTCCTGCTGCTCATCACGCATTGGTACCAGATTCTCAGGAAACCGATCCATATGTGAAAACAAGTCATACATTTTGATGCTCATGTTGCATCAGGTCACACACATAATTCAGGAAGTTGAACGGATTGAGCCTAACCAATGTGATTTTTTATTTCAGCATATCAAAATTACCCTAAAACAGTTACCCCAGATAATTTTTGGCTGTTGACCTGTGTAATCTGAGGATGGCAGCTGGATAAGAGGTAAGTGGTTTTGGCTGGAAATGTGTGCAATCCATGATTACATGGAGATGAATTAGACTGTGACAGTATGGTTTCAATATAGCCTGGTAGTTAGCACACATTTCCAGAACCAAAAATTGTCCTTGAGTCAGATCAGCTTCCCACTATCATGGTCCACATGAGCACTGCAGTTCTCCAGGAACAGCAGGATCCCCAAAACGCTGGCCCATCCTTTCTCTAGCTCTATCATATGGAAACACCCATAGAAAATAATGATCAGATCCACTGATTTGTGTCCTGATTCTCACTGATGAAGCTGGGTCCAAAGCTGGGGGGGTTGCGGCGCACTAGTTGAGGAGTTAACTTCCCGTCCTGACAGAAAGAAAGATTTGTTTAGAGGCCAAACTACTTGGATAAAAATGCTTGGACCTGCTGAGTCGTTGCCTGTGTACCTGTCCTGGTAGGTGAGGAGTGGGAGGAGTTAACTCGGGACCTGGGGCTCCTGGACTCTGCTGGAACCTGTGATTACAGAGAACACAATCAGAACCATGGTTTACAGAATCCGAACCTCGGAAAGTTCAGATGCGATCATTCAGTACCTGTTGATGACCATAGGGTTCAGGCCCAGGGGTCCCTGACTCATCACCCTGTTAATACCTTTCAGAGCCTGCATCTTAGCCTTCATGATTGGGTCAGAGATGGACTCAAAATCTGCAAAACACAGAACCAGCTTGAGTGATGAAGACTCAAAGCCTAAAGACATAGCTCCTGATAGTACCAAGACTGTCAAGATAGCAATCATGTGACAGAACTAAATGGCTCTCTGATCAGACTCTGCTTCTCATTCTGATTGGATATCAGTAGGTGTAGAAGACCTCAGAGAGTTCTGATTTTCTGGCCTGTCACAGCTTTGTGGCCTGAAAGGGTTTTGATCTTACCCATGTCGGAGATTCCAGACTCTGAGCCAGACTTATGTTGGATCAGGGCCTGCATCTGTTTCTGCTGCTGCTGCTCCTGTCGCTCCTGGTCCAGAAGCTCCTGCAGGAGGAGTGGCTGCTCCTCCAGCAGCAGAGGCCTGGACTTGTTCTGGTTCTGGAGGGAGACCTGGTTCTCAGAAAAGGTGACCGAGCTCATGCTCTGAGTTTCAGTGCCTGAATGAGGAGGATGGTTCTGGGGGTTTAAAAGAAGTCGAGGCTGAAGAGGTTGAGTTGATGGAGATTGAGGCATGGTGGGGGCACCCTGAGGAGCAGGACCAGCAGGAATTGGTTTGGGTATTGGTGCGGATCCAAATGATCTCTGGTGGAAAACAGATGAGTCCCCTGGGGACAGAGAAGATACACATTAGACATATGCTGCAAAGCTGAAGAGGTAGGGGTGGTCACTGGGTTTACCTGGAGTTATTAGAGGGTGGACAGTGGACAAAGCCTGAACTGGGACTGGACAGGAAACCAAACTAGAGTCCTCCAGTTTCTCCTATGGAGAGTTAAAGGTAGAAATCATTTATCAGTTCTGTGATTGGTTCAGCATGATAAAGCAATCAATGACCTACCTTGTTTAGAAGGGTAGAGTGAGCTCCTTCAGGTCTGTTTGAGGAGTGACCTTCAGTCATCTGAGATTCCTTCAATTCCTGTTTTGGCTCTCCCAGAAGGTGGGCAGGGCTTCCCATTTTCCTGGCAGGTCGGCTCCCCTCCCGATCCTCTACTGGCTCCCCAAGGTCCAGCTCCTCGTTGAACATGTCTTTTTTGTCCTCCAAATTGAGCTCTGGGTCAGCATAGGCAATCAGGTCGAACTTCCCTGTCAGCAGAAAGTCATCCAGGTGCAGATCGTTCGAACCTAGGTCCAGATCTTCTTTACCTGCGACAGAACCAACGAGTGTGAATATTGACTTGAGAGTGGTTCTGGGAAACTTATGGCAGCCTGTGGTCTTCCTACCATCCTCTGGGTCCAGATTCAGATTCAGGTCCACCAGGTCCTTGACCTCCACGTCCTCCAGATCCTTTACAGCAGAGTCCTCTCCCTCTAAGTGCTCCTCAATCCCCTCAGATCCTGGGAGAGCAGAACCCAGGTGCTGCTGCTGCCCCAGCCTTGCCTCCCCCATTTTGACTGGACCTGGCGCAGTGGACTGGGAGGGGTCTCTGGTGGGTGTGGCTTCCTGTAGCCCCAAAGGCATCGGTGGGGAAAAGGGCAGCCTCAGACGGTTCTCTGGGGGGCGGTGTCGGAGCTCGATGTAGGGCATAACGCCATGCTGCTGAGGAGGAGGAGGAGGAGGCCGCTGGACGATGAGTTGGGGAACACCTGTGGAAGCAAACGCAGGGAAACATGGCTTTAACACTTACAGGACTTGAACAGGGCCCTATTCATTCGGCAGTTCAGACCTGGCACCATGTGTGTTGATGAGTTGTGGGGCATCAATGACCGAATGCTGGTGAACTCTGCTGGCACAGGCCTCCTCATTTGGACCAGGTTCCCCTCCATGGAGCCAAGCCCCACAGCAGGACCAAGGGATGGACGTGCTGAAGGGTCCTGTAGGGCTGCAGGGACTCCATGAGGAACACCAAACCTGGAAAGAGGGACACCAACTGTGACAGGAACAGATCTGAAAGTTGTAGGTCTGCTTCTCACTTTTTCTACCTGACAGCTGGTCCTCTCAGGAGGTTCTGTCTGGGGAGGGAACCCTCACTGGGAGGAAAGTCACTCATCTCCTCGCCTGGAAGACATCCTGTAAACCCAGTAGTCAGAGGTCTCACTGTACCAGGGTACGGCGGAGGAGGGCGTTCAAATGGGTCTGGAGGAGGGGCGCTGGAAGAGTCCTCAGCAGACCAGCTGTGAAGAGCGTCACTTGAACCAACCGGTCCTGAGGGGGGTTCCAGCAAACTTTTCTCCTGGCGTAAGGCAATCTTTTGGTGCTGCTGCCGGAGGATATGCTGCCGGAGCCACAGGCGCTATATGGGACAACCAGAGAAACATCAGAAATCCAAAGGTTAAGATACTCGACCCGGCAGCTGCCTGGGAATTGGGGGGGTATGGGTCTACCTCGCCTGGCGGATTATTACCTGTCGGCCCAGATTAGACCTTTGGTGTGCTGGTGTAATCCAGCCTATAAATGGAAGGACATTGAGCTTTGTTTGTTGCACTTCCCTATACAGTCTGTTTTGGGATGTCTGGACGGCTTGCCCCAGGTGTACCAATTACAAAATCTGTGTCTGAGTCTCTCCTTGAAGAAGTGGGCAGGAGTGGTTAAAAAGTTCAATCTTCACAGACGGATAGGAGTATTGAGTTGGCTTCCGTAAAACCCGCGTTTCCTCCCACCATCAATAGACTCAAATATAGAAGATGGGCGAATTACTGCATTCTGTAATATAATTAAAAATGGGCAGCTAGTAAAATTTGAGGATCTGTGTCGGATTTATGAGGTGGGGAGTGAAGATTTCTACCGTTATTTGCAGGTCCAAAGTTTCTTTACGAAGGAAATAAAAATCCCTGATTCGGATGCAGAGCCAGGAATAGAACAAATTTTTATGGATTAATATGCTGGTAGAAAAACAAACGGCATCATTGGCAAATATTACAGAAACTTAATATCTATGAATGAGAAGTCAGCTGATGCAATAATTTCACCTGAGGCCTGCATGCAGATTTGGAGGAACTCTCTGTGCACCACAAATTCTTTCACATGGCGCCATTTCTGCATTTTTATTGCGCCAAAGCAGAGATGGAAGCTGGTTGGCTCCCAGTCCTCGTGCTGGAGGGGGTGTGGTGTGGTCACTGCGGGCTGAAAGCAGCGACCACACCGGGACTGTCCAGAGTTGAAGACCTTCTGGAAGGACGTTAATGGAGTAATATATGGAATTATGGGTATAACCTTAGATTAGTCATTTCCTGCTATGTACCATGGAATACTTCCTGAGGGACTCAGTGATGGGGACACGTACCTGTTGAAGATATTTCTGATCGCAAGCAAGAAAGCGATGACTAAATGTTGGCTCCAGTCTAAACCTCCACCCTGAAGCTTCTGGTGAATATTATAAACCTGATCCACGATATGGAAATGTTGACTTTTACAATACGGCTCAGGAAGGAGAAGGGACAGAAACTTTGAGAAAGATGGGAATATTTTAATATCAAAGGCTTTAACAGTTCATTTCTGTTCCTCCACGTCATTCGAACAGAAAGCTGGGAGCTTTTATCTGTTTACTTTGAAATGTCTGTAAAAGTGGAATCGTCATCAGTATGAATGCTGCCACCTGCACAAGCCCTCAAGTTTGATTGTGAATATCTGTATGTTTAAAAACGAATAAAAATAAAGTTAAAAAACAAAAAGAAATCCAAAGGTGACCACAATGACAAAGATCTCCCCCACCTGTTGTAGTTTCTCCTCAGAGTCTCCAAGCTGAGGCAGCATGCCCCTCCCTCTGTCCAGAGAGGACAGGTCACCGGTTCCTGACTTCTCCATCATTGGCATGCTGGTTGTTACGAGACCCTTGTCCAGAGCATCCTGACCTGTTGCATGGACTACTCCCTTCTCAGGTGTCACAGGATGCTTTGGGGTCTGGCTGCTACAGGTTCTGGGCAACGACTCTTGTCTGCTTCCAGTAGACTGTTGAAGCTGTACAGAGAAGAGGCAATGAGGAAATATGATGGTTCCCTGGTTGTCTTTTAGCTCCAACTGGCAACAGAAAACCTGACTGAACACTGAGGTGATTCGACCACACAGGTGTTTAGGAACACGGACGTGTCCACAGGACGTGTCCACAGGACATGTCCAGTCCTCGAGGAATAGAGTTGAAGATTCAAGTTCAACGTCACAGTGAAACAGAGGCAGAGGCAAAAAATTTGAATTTATAAAGTACAATACAAGTATTGTGTCAAAAGTGCTTCACACTACATCTAGTCATTCATACACTGATGGTGATGAGCTATTGGATAGCAGCCACAACTGCCACGGGGTATTCTGGCAGAGATGAGGCTGCCGTGTGCAGACGGCACCGGCCCTCTCTGGTCTGGGTTGTTTGTGACCAGACCAGAAATCAAGCTAGCATGCAAACTAAAACAACTGAACCGAGACCCCATAGTCCATCTGGTCTTGGTAGGGTTCCACACAACCTCTAAAGCGGTTAGAGTTAGGGATTGTGAAGAAGTTTTACTCGTATTAAATGATGTTCCTTTATGTATCATATAAATGTAATGTTTTTTGTATCAAGGTGTTTTTCTGTGCAGCTGGAAACGGTGAACAAACTAATGAAACATGATGTGTCTACTGCAGTAAGTTTCCCAGAGTTGCTGAACTTCCCAGACAGTTATTTGGGAACTGGCTGTTTTTCCCGTGCCCTTCTCTGCATGGAGACAGAGTGTTTAGTTTTCACCTCCCATAGACATTACATTATATTACATACAAGGTTCCGTATGTTTTCCTTTGTTTCTTTTGTTTGGTCTTCGAAGATTGAGTCTCCACCTCGGTAGTAAAGAGAGATGAATAAAGTAACTATGCAACTCTGGGTTCCTCAGAGCGGATCCTAAAAAAAAACCCATTACATTTATATGACACATAAAGGAACATCATTTAATACGAATAAAACTTCTTCACAGGATCATGGTGTGACCACACCGTGATCCAACACACCTAGCAGGTAGGAGCTAAAAGCCTGAGCTGAACCCCTTCCTGTTTACATTGCATTATGGGATGCGGTTAGCACCTTTAGGTAGAGATGGACACCCTTTTGTGATCCTAGTTTTCTGCTGCTGGTCTAAGAAAAGTTTGGTTCACATTTCAGCTGCTTCCCAGATAAAATCTGAAGAACATATTTATGAACTTTGTGTTTTTGCTGCATGACGTCTGAAGATGACAGACGTGTCACATCCAGAAAGACAAGAACATTGATTTAGATTTGGTTCTCCGGACACAGAGCTGTATCTGCACAAAGAAGCTAGAGAGGTTGTTACCTTGGGGGCTGCAGGGTTGAAGGCCCCTATCTCCGCCATCAGTCCAGGACCCCGAGGAGAGGAAGCTAACACTGCAGGCGGGGCAGTCAGGCTCTCTGCTAGGGTCTTCTGAGCCCGGAGGGCAGAGGGCTGCTGCAGGTACGGCTCATGAGAGGGGCGAGGCGTCCCCATAGACTGGGGGAACAAATCGACGCTTCGCTGAGACCCCGGGGACCGTGGGAACCGTTCCGAGGAGCGGGGCGTTCCTGGATTGGAGGGATAGGAATCCAGGCTGGACGGCGACAGCTGACTGACCGGGTCTCCTCTGACCCGCTCAGTCGAGGGCATTGAGAGGTAACCGCAGTCAGAGTGAGGGTGTGGCGTTCCGGGGGTCTGAGGGTCCCTGAAGGGGTCAGGGGCCGTGAACCTGGGGTGTCCCCCAGCTGAGGTGTCCCTGGGGCATAAGGGCTGCGGTGGGGGGAGCCCAGACCTGACACCGGGCTGTTGGGGAACCCAAGATCTCTTCTTCCTGTTGCCTCCTGGTGGGGGGGCATGGGGGCTTTAAACACTCCACCCTGCATCGTCAGGCTTGTCCTCTGGCTGGAGTCCGGCGCCCGGACGGGTCTGAGAGATTGGTCGGGGGGGGAACCAGAGGAGGGGATCACCATGCCAGCCCGACTTGGTGGCAAACCTGCAAGGATAGAGTATGTTAGGAGAAGAGAATGGGGGGAGGGCTGAGAGGAGCAAAGAGGAGGACACAGGGTGGAGGACCTACCGGAGGCAGACAGGTCGGGGGAGAGTGTAGGGGAGCCATCGTGAGCGGGGGAGACGCTGAGGAAGCCGAGGCGCTGCTGCTGAGGATGACGGGGACCTGCTACTTTACCATATGGGTCCCAGGGTGAGGATGGCCGGAGGAGGGGGAGGAGAACATCTGGGGGGAAGATGGCGGCTGGTGGAGGGGCGAGGAGGCCAAAGGGGAATGAGGGAGTGAAGAGAACCCAGAGGGAGCAGGGACTTGAGGTCTGAGGAAGACATCATCCAGTGTCCCTGCATCCTGCGGGAGGTTCTGTCTGCTCTGCGTGGTGTTGCCCCCGGCGACCTGCTGGTGGGCGGGGCCTTCTGGGGACAGGCGTCCCGACTGGCGGAGCTGCTGCTGCCGCTGCTCGTTCTTCACCTGCTCCAGCTTCTGGCTTGCCTCCATCTTGGCCAGCTGCTTGCTCTTCTGCCGCATCATCTGAGTTGAACAGCAACCAATGAGAGACTTCTTCCTCAGCAAGCCCCACCCACCCATCAGAGAAGCACATGATGCTCACCTGTCTCAACTTCCACTCCTGCTCCTGTTCTGATTCCCTGGGCCTCAGTGGATCTCTGCAGCTGGCCTCCGTCTCCATGGCGATGGGGTCATACACCCCCTGGGGCGGCGGCGGCGGCGGCGGCTGCAGTGACTCATTAGACAGCTGCACCTTGTTGATGCGCTGGGCTGCCCGGTTGTCCCGAGCTTTTTGCTGTAGAAGCACAATCGGGTGTGAAACTGTTTCCTCTGGACCCATCAGAAGGAGGAGCAGAAACTCACGAAGGGTGCTCTGTCCTGGGAGCTGGCCTTCCTCCACAGCTTGGTGATCTGCTTCACTCTAGTGGACCAATCTGAGAACAAACGCTCATTGTGATACCTGAGCCCTACCTGGGAACACTGGGTTGACTGAGTGTATCTGTGTGTACCAGGGTACTGCTGCTTCAGCTGAGGGAAGTTGGTGTTGCAGTAAAGAACTGGAGCCACGGTCGCCAGCTCTCCCAGACTCTCCTCCTTCTCCCACTTCAGCGTCCCTCTCTGAGCTGTCGACATCACATCCTGCTCCCCTTCTACAGCTGATGGTCGATTGGCTGAGGCAGAGGAGGGGGCGGGGCCCTCAGAAGGCAAGCTGAAGCCAAGCAGACGGCTGCCTCCACTGGGAGCGTTGGGGAGGGGAGGAACGGCAGCCACCAGGCCATTCATCACCGGCAGCCGAGAACACACTGCTGACAGAGAACACCTCTACGGTCACCTGTCAGGGTCACCAGTGAGATTCCACGGTTGTGTGTGGGAAGAGTCGTACCTGAGCCGTGGGTCTTGCTGGGCTCTGGCTCCCTGCTGCTGTTTGGACTCAGAACGGCAGTGAAGACCTCCTCCACGTCCTTCCCCTCCAGTTCTGCGTACACACAGGTGTATAGGTTATCATGGAACCATGGCAGTGTCCTGACAGGTGAGAAGATTCTCCCACTCTTACCTGGGATCTTGTAGAGTCTGCTCAGGATACCTCCTGCAACAGGAACAGGAAGCTGTGAGATTGTTCCATCGTGCAATGGAACAATCTCTGTCTGCTGTCACTCTGCTACACTCACCGTCTGTTACCATCTGGTCCAGTTCAGGGCTCAAGATGGCGTCCAAAGGCTCCTCCCGCTCCATTCTTTGGCAACGCCCATAAGCTCCAGGGGTGTCTGATGACAGGGGGCTTGGTCGGCCGCCGAGGTGATATCCAAGCCGGCTGGAAGAGAGAGACACACGAATAGGTGAAACAACTCAAGGGACGAGTGAGGGGTGGGAGAGGAGGAGGACCAAACTGGTAAATCTGCAGGAGAAGAAATGATCATCTATCAATCTGAGGTCAAACAGAGTTAGAGAGATGGTTCGCCAGCAGAGCAGCAGGAAGAGGAAGTCCAGTCTTACCAAAGGAGACGGAGAACGCTCCACCTGGAACTGACCTGAAGCTAAACACACACAGGCATCATGTGAAAGTCTCTCTCACACACACAGCTGTGATCATGAGGATGATGGTGGTGTGTCCATACCTGTGTGTCCTGTTCCCAGGATGTGAGGGTCTGTTTTCAGGACATCAGAAAGATCCAGCAGCACTTCCTCTGACACAGCTGAATGGCAACACACACACACACACACACACACACACACACACACACACACAAATACCTGATCATGTGACTTGATGGATGTTCCCAGTCTGAAACTGATTCCAGAACCATTCTGGATTAAACTGCTGCAGTTACAGTCTGAAGCCAGCAGAGGGCACCCTCACACAGACTAACTGACCTTAAAGGAATCCATGATCAATTGGAACAGACTTTATTGAAGAAATATTTATTTTAGTTGTAAAAAAAAAATGTGGTAATGACTCTGAAGGTTGTTGCGTTTTCATAATTGTTAAAATATTGTCATGTTGCAAGGCATTGTGGGTAAATGACGTCTTTAGGTTCGACTGCACTGGCTCCGTATCACAAACACCAATTTTTTAGTTAATAGGAAAATAACAACATATTTAATCCAACATGTTCAACTAATCTTTAACCCCTTTAATCCCAGCAGCTGAAGGAGAACATGACCAGAAGCTCAGGAAACATGGCGGAACTGTTAGGATTAAGAGAACGTGTAAAATACAAAACAGAAATGAAAACTTACGCAGCACTCCCTGTTTCCTGCTGGATGCTACTGTCCAGGAGCCTGGACAGAGGAGGCGGGGCAAGGTGCTCTGAGGGGCGGGGCCTTGGGGACACTCACTGCCGATCCTGATTGGCTGGCACCTGAGGTCACCGTCCTCTGCCTTCTGTCAATCTGTCGGCTACGGTCAAGCAGATCCCGGCCAAAGAAAGCCTCCTGTATGGAGGCGGCCAATCAGCAGAGAGCGGGCTGGCGAAGCTTCACGCCCAGGTGAAAGCATTACCTGAAGGTACGATGGGAACGCCTCCTCCAGCTTGGTCTTCTTCTTCCTGTATCTCTTCTTAACTTTCTCCATTGCCTGGTCAGCAGCAGACATAATTTCCATGGAAACATCAGTTTCCAACACACCTAGGAGGAAACCGAGGATCAGACTCTGACATTACATTCTGTCAATAACTCATGAGCTCAGGTGACTCACCTGGATCTCGACTCGGGTTCATCTCTGTTGAGTCCTTCCTGCAGAGTCCGGCTTTTCCCCCACGCTGACGGACCATGAAGCCCCCGATACCTGGGGGTGACCAGAAATCAGAGAGGGGAAGACCGGAGGAGAAAGAGGGGGACACGAGGAGAAAGAGGGGAGACCGGAGAGAAAGAGGGGAGACCGAAGGAGAAAGAGGGGGAGACCGAGGAGAAAGAGGGGGAGACCGAAGGAGAAAGAGGGGGAGACCAAGGAGAAAGAGGGGAGACCGAAGGAGAAAGAGGGGGAGACCGAAGGAGAAAGAGGGGGAGACCGAAGGAGAAAGAGGGGAGACCGGAGGAGAAGAGGGGGAGACCGAAAGAGAAAGAGGGGGAGACCGGAGGAGAAAGAGGGGAGACCGAAAGAGAAAGAGGGGAAGACCGAAAGAGAAAGAGGGGGAGACCGGAGGAGAAAGAGGGGGAGACCGGAGGAGAAAGAGGGGAAGACCGGAGGAGAAAGAGGGGAAGACCGGAGGAGAAAGAGGGGAGACCGAGGAGAAAGGGGGACACCGAAGGAGAAAGAGGGGAAGACCGGAGGAGAAAGAGGGGAAGACCGGAGGAGAAAGAGGGGGAGACCGGAGGAGAAAGAGGGGAAGACCGGAGGAGAAAGAGGGGGAGACCGGAGGAGAAAGAGGGGAAGACCGGAGGAGAAAGAGGGGAAGACCGAAGGAGAAAGAGGGGAGACCGGAGGAGAAAGAGGGGAGACCGAAAGAGAAAGAGGGGGAGACCGGAGGAGAAAGAGGGGGAGACCGAAAGAGAAAGAGGGGGAGACCGAAGGAGAAAGAGGGGGAGACCGAAGGAGAAAGAGGGGAGACCGAAGAGAAAGAGGGGGAGACCGGAGGAGAAAGAGGGGGAGACCGAAGGAGAAAGAGGGGGAGACCGAAGGAGAAAGAGGGGAGACCGAAGGAGAAAGAGGGGAAGACCGGAGAGAAAGAGGGGGAGACCGGAGGAGAAAGAGGGGGAGACCAGAGGAGAAAGAGGGGAAGACCGAAGGAGAAAGAGGGGAAGACCGAAGGAGAAAGAGGGGGAGACCGAAGGAGAAAGAGGGGGAGACCGAAGGAGAAAGAGGGGGAGACCGAAGGAGAAAGAGGGGAGACCGAAGGAGAAAGAGGGGGAGACCGAAGGAGAAAGAGGGGGAGACCGGAGGAGAAAGAGGGGGAGACCGGAGGAGAAAGAGGGGAGACCGGAGGAGAAAGAGGGGGAGACCGGAGGTTAGAACCCAGCTTCCAATTGTCTGGGATTTCCCATACAAATGCATGGCTTCTTATACCTAATGGCCAGGAATATCTATCATGGCCATTATATTTAATGTTGTCATATGGGATAAAGTGGGACAAACAGCAGGCTGTCTAACCACTGAATGACAGCATCATTTTGACTTTTACTGACTGATCTCTTCACCAGTCTTAGCCTAGTGGGTAGCAAAAGGGCAGACTTTCAGTGGAATCAAAATGGAGAGCTCCATCAGATGGACCTATAACTTTACTTCTGCGAGTACAAAATTGGACAAGGTACCAGATAGAAAGGTTGTAGAGAACACAAATGCATTGACATCATTGCCCTGACTTCAATGCACAGAAAATGCATTGGGATTAGGCATGGACTGAACTTATAGAGCTTTTTCAGTCATTTTGACCACTCAAAGCACTTTACACTGGAGTCACATTCACCCATTCGGACTCACAAACACAGACCGGGAGGCAATTTGGGGTTAAGTGCCTTGCGCAGAGGCACATCGACATGTGACAGGAGGAAGCCGGAATCGAACCTACAACCTTCCGATTGCAAGACGACTACTCTGCGATACAGCCACAGTCGCCCACATGGGCATCTATGTATGGCTCCTGGCCATTTAGATAACATCCAGTGTGGCTCCATATATCCCAGGGTTGCCAAGAATGTGCCTAAGAAACTTAATCTAAAATATTTCCAAGGGACACCCGGGAGCCACCTGAACCTCCTCCCATCATGAGTACCCACACTGAGTAATAGTAGCCTTCTACACTGGCAAGGTATAAGCCTACACAATATGACGCTGCCCAAGGCACGACACTCTAGAGGAGTAATAGTAGTCCCTGGGCGTCGGGTGGGGCTTTGGGTTCAGAAAGAGTTCAGGTGGGTGATCCTGGTACTTTCAGGCCAATCTTGGTTCTTCCCCAATATTTGGGATGATTTATGCCTCAAGTTCAAAAAATGTTCACAACTAACCCTCATCGACTTCAAATGATCCAGAATGCAGCGGCACGGCTTCTTACAGGAACCAGGAAGCATGACCATATAAGGCCTAAGCTGGTCAATTTACACTGGCTGCCTGTTATGTATAGAATAGATTTTAAGATTCTTTTATTAACTTAAAAAGTTTTAAATGGGTTAGCTCCCCCTTATCTTCAGGACCTTTTAAAATGTCAGTCTGTGTCCAGAACCCTCAGATCAAACAATCAGCTTTTACTTCCAGTCCCTCGGATCGACTAAGGAAAGGAGATCGGGCTTTTTCTGTTGTTGCTCCAAATTTATGGAACAATTTGCCTTTTCAGATTAGATCTGCTAGCAGCCTGGATCATTTTAAATCGCTTCTCAAAATTCATTTTTATTCGTTGGCTTTTAACTGAAGCAATTTTTGATATTCTGTTTTTATCTATTTGTGTTACTGTTGTTCCTGTGCAGCACTTTGGTGCAGTTTTATACCTGTTTTAAAGTGCTATATAAATAAATTTGACATTGACATTGACATACAATGCGCACTGAAATTCCCAAAAAGAGTCAACTTTGATTTTTTAAAAAGAAAAATCTGAAGCAGGTGCATATAGCTCACTAAGGGTTAATCTTTCCAACGATGTGGGCATCCGACTGCTAGGCCGTGGTTTGGCAGCTAGAATTTCTCAGATTTGGGTCGACTGTGACAGGGCAAAGTCCACCCTTGGTAGGGCACCCTGTCTTTTGGCCAGGGTGCCCTACCAAGGGAGAGACAGGATGTAAAGGGCTGGAGGATGATGAAGAGGAGATAAGTGGCTTTCACCCTTCATCCCACCTGGCCTATATGGTTTCCTCTTCCTCTTCTTGTCGTCTGTGACGTCCGTCTCCTTGGTGATGTCATCCAGGTGAGTGGCGTCCCGCTCTGGACTGGAGTCAGATTTCATGTCACAGTCCAGGTCACCTGCAGACAAAGCTGTAAGGTGATGGCCCGGTGTCAAGGTCACCTGGTTCTGATGGACTCCTGTGAATTCCCTTTAGGAGTTACCTCGGTTCTGGTCCGGCTCGATGAGGGTCTCTGGGTCCGGTGGAGTCTGCAGGACGGAGACAATGTTCTGGTTGATGATCCTCAGCTTCAACTTTGGTTTACACCTGAAGACAGAACAGCGTCGTTGGTCTGACTCCCTGGTTCAGGCTACCTGTGTTAAGGGTAAGGGCTTTACCTGCGGCACTTGCGCGGTGATGTGAGAGGCTGGACTAGGGCCTGGAGGTGAGTCAGACCGGACTCTGTTAGGCAGACGCCATCCTGAGTAAATGTCTTCACATCTGGAAAGAGAGTCACGTGATCAGGCTGCAGAGGGACTGGAAGGTTACAGCAACAGAATCGATACTGACCCAATTCTCTGGTTCTGGACACCATCTGAGTCATGAAGGAACCCAGAGGCTCCACCCTCCCTGCAACAAACACATGGGTCAGCGTTTACCCTTGCCTCTGGGGGAATTTCATAATGAAGGCCATGCAGACCTGAGGAGGCGCGGCACAGAGAGCAGTCAAAGCCTTCATCGGCAGAGAGCGCCACCTCTTCTTCCGAGGCCAAACCCTGACAGACGCTGTGGACCCACCTGCAGACACACCACAGGTAACACAATCCTGAGGCGAGACTCCTCTCCCCAGTTTGAGAAGGGCCCTACCTGTCGCACTGTTGGCACTGCAGCACTAGATCGTCTTGTGTGTAACGCCGCTGGCAGACGGGACACTGGCTGAGGCTGCCACACGGCCCACACAGGCTATAGTTGTTCAGCCAATCACAGCGCAGCCCCGGCGAGGTGGAGCCACACAGCACACACCACACACACCTGCAGACAGACGATGGGCCGTCAGACATGCCCCCGACCCTTGGCCTCCAATGCCTGCACCTACCACTTGCACTTCCAGGAGCCCTTGGGCACAGTGAGGAGGGGCGGGTCCAGGCAGTAGGTGTGGTAGCTGATGTCACAGTCGTCACAGAGCAGAAGGCGGGCGGGGTCGCAGGCGTCGCCACACGCTTCACATACTGTGCACTCTAGGCAGCGCCAGCCTTTGGTGAGTACCACCCGGGTAATCTGAAATCAGAATACGGAGTAATGAGTGAATCGGAACCAGACTGCCGGAGCGGTGTAACCGGGTCAGGGACACACCTTGACACCAACACAGTAGGGATGGTAACACTGGCCGCACTGGGAGCAGGGCAGAAGGCGGCCCTCTGAGCCCCGACCGAAGCTGCCACACACCACGCACATGTCCTGCAGAGACAGACGGAGAAATGCTAGGACACCAGCGCGCAAGGGGGCGCCCGCGGACAACCCGGGACACCCGCAACGCCCGGGGTACACCCGAGTACCTGTTTGAGAGTGAAATGGTCCGAGGTGGAGAACATCACCACCGTGTTGTGCATAGAGTTCTCCTCTTCCTCCTTTGCCTGAAAGATCTCCACATTGCTTCCCTAGCAGACACATAGGAGGGAGGAGGTCAGCTTCCTATTAGCATGGCTGTTCCTCCATCAGTCAGCCAGCACACTCTTCTTACCCCAGGGAGCACAGTGAGGCTGTCCTGAACCTTCAGCCGACTCCTGCCTCTTCCTCCTCTTCCTCCACCAGCAGCTGCACCTCTGGACCGCTTCCTGCCTGGAAATCCTGAACCCCGACCCTGACGAGGACGGGAGAGCGTTAGACTTCCTGACATGTTACCCTTCCACTCCTTGGGTCAGGTCAGCAGAGGGTGCCACTGACTCAGTTGTAAACGGTGACCTGGGGCCTCATGTATAAAGCGGTGTACGCATAAAAATGTGAGATGCCATATTTTATGCACAAGTCGGCATGTAAATGAACTTTGCGTCAAAGTTTGAATAAATGTATGTTTTTCTTCCCTGCCGCGAAAATGTGCGGCAGTTACATAAACGTTTTCTGTGAACAATATTAAATACAAAGCATCAAAACTCACCTAAATACACTGATACCTGACTACATTCAATGTTATTTAGACAAAGCAGCATCAAACCTGATGATTTTCATTATTTTAATATTTTAATGTTTAAATTATGAAACTGAACCAATTTATCCTCAGACAATAAGCTGACACAAAATAAAGTAAATAAAAGTAAAGGATGTGAAATCCTCACAACAATGTAAATAATTTTGCTCAGTTTGTCTTAAAGACACAACGCATCGTCTGAATGCATCTATGGCTCATTTATTCTCACAAGAGAAACCAGGGCTGATCAATAGGTCTGATTATTGGAGGTGATCAATAGGTCTGATTATTGAAGGTGATCAATAGGTCTGATTATTGAAGGTGATCAATAGGTCTGATTATTGAAGGTGATCAATAGGTCTGATTATTGGAGGTGATCAATAGGTCTGATTATTGAAGGTGATCAATAGGTCTGATTATTGGAGGTGATCAATAGGTCTGATTATTGGAGGTGATCAATAGGTCTGATTATTGAAGGTGATCAATAGGTCTGATTATTGAAGGTGATCAATAGGTCTGATTATCGAAGGTGATCAGGTGTGTATAATCCCAGGTATATTAGTTGCTGCATCTGTGGCTCTGATGGAGAACATGGAGCCATTGATCAGAGATCATATTGATCTGCTGGTTTCGTGGCGTTTAGATGAATCCAGACTGATTATCCTGGGGCTCTGAACAGAACTTGAAGCAGGTACCGGTTCCGATCCAGGCCCCCTTGTGGACAGAGAGCATTTGTACGCTGTAAATGTAACTTCTGTTTACAGGGTTCTGAACGTTCTGCTGTTCAAACACCAATGTTACCTGGGAGATCTTTATTTATTCTTTTATTTGTATTTTTCTTTCTTTAAAGTGTATTATTTTTATTTTGGTGAAGAGAGCTTATGTGACCTGAAAACAGCTTCAAAATAAAATATATATTTTATTTATTTGTGCATGGAGCAGAATATTATGAATAATATTTTGCTCCAAAATAAGATTTTGCCATGGTTATGGCTTCACGTGGCGGCAGACTTCAGGGTACTTCTACTAATTTACATTGATGTATTTATGGAGGCGACAGGCGGACCAGCAGCTGCTCCGTTTCCTCTAAATTGGGATTTATGAAGGAAAGGTGCGCACCAAGGTGCGTGCACACGGTTTTATGCATCCAGATTTTTTTGTGCGCTGCACTTTTCTGCAATTTCTACTTTTCCGTATGCCACTAAAACTTGGCGTATGGACAAATGTACGCCATTTGTCCGTACATCTGTCCGTACGTATAAGAGTGTGAATAAAACAGCACACTCTTTTATGCATGAGGCCCCTGGAACTGGGTGGCTAACCAGATCCAGACCCGTTCAAAGGTAAAAAGAAAATATTTGAAGTCCAAAAATTTAAATCAAAAACAAAAATGATGAAGCAATCATAAGCCTGAGTGAAACTGCTTTGCAGTCCCGATTTAAGAGAACTAGCAAGTTCTGAACATCTCAGGTTTTCAGGCCATTTGTTCTAGTGAAGCTGAATGTGTGGTTCTAAACCAGAATGGGTTCGAGAACCAGAAAACAGCTGGACCAGAAGAACCATCGTGTTCAGCTGGAGGCGGGCTCAACTGGAGCAGCAAGCTTCTGATTGGTTGAATTTAAATCCAATGATTTATTTAAACTCTCACTCTCAGCCTCAGGCTGGTCAACAGCTGCTGCTGAAACCAACTGCCTGACAACCTGAAGCCATCATGTCTGGGTGCGCTTATTTACCACTTTCATGCTCCACAGAGGAGAGCCTGGTGGGTGGGGCTTAGGGCTCCAGCCTCCCTCCCCCGTGGAATCCTGTGAGGATGAGGGAGGGCTCGGCGCCCTGCGGCTGCTGCACCACGTACCCTGAGTCATGCAGAAGGGCCAGGGGGGTAAGAGGGCAAGAGTAAGAGTAAGAGTGGAGGGGACAAAATGCAGCAACATAAATGCAACAGCCACAAACAGGAAACTGAAAACAGCCTAGTCAAGATGCAAATGATAACATGGCAACCGCATGCAGTTCTGCTCAAACATTCAGAAAGTTTAAATAGTGACATGCTAAACGGCAACAGCCATGAGAAAGCAGCATGCACAAGATCGGAGTATCCGGCCCGACGGGGAGGAGGCCCCGGCCCGACGGGAGGAGGCCCCGGCCCGACGGGGAGGAGGCCCCGACCCGACGGGGAGGAGGCCCCGACCCGACGGGGAAGAGGCCCCGGCCCGACGGGGAGGAGGCCCCGGCCCGACGGGGAAGAGGCTCCGGCCCGACGGGGAGGAGGCCCCGGCCCGACGAACGAGAGGCTCCGGCCCGACGGGGAGGAGGCCCCGGCCCGACGGGGAGGAGGCCCCGGCCCGACGGGGAGGAGGCCCCGGCCCGACGGGGAGGAGGCCCCGGCCCGACGGGGAGGAGGCCCCGGCCCGACGGGGAAGAGGCTCCGGCCCGACGGGAGGAGGCCCCGGCCCGACGAACGAGAGGCTCCGGCCCGACGGGGAGGAGGCCCCGGCCCGACGGGAGGAGGCCCCGGCCCGACGGGGAAGAGGCCCCGGCCCGACGAACGAGAGGCTCCGGCCCGAAGGGGAGGAGGCTCCGGCCCGACGTGGAGGAGGCCCCGGCCCGACAGGGAGGAGGCTCCGGCCCGAAGGGGAGGAGGCTCTGGCCCGACGAACGAGAGGCTCCGGTGGGAGGAGGCTCCGGTCCGACGGGGAGGAGGCTCCGGCCCGACGGGGAGGAGGCTCCGGCCCGACGGGGAGGAGGCCCCGGCCCGACGGGGAGGAGGCTCCGGCCCGACGAACGAGAGGCTCCAGCCTGATGGGGAGGAGGCTCTGGCCCGAAGGCTCTGTGTCTCCAACCCGAGGCTCTGATGCTCCACAAGCTTCTGAGCGAGGCTGCTGATCGGATCGGACCTGTGGTACCTGTCGGGACCGCACCCGGCCTGGGAGAACTTCCTCTTAGAGATGGCAGGCTTTCCCATGCCAATCTTTGGGGTCAGCAAGAACACTGCAGTAGGTGGTGCCTAGAGACATGAAGTGAGGTAAGCCAGTGGCGACTGCAAGAGATTTTAGTGGCCCTGCAAGAGTCTTACCTGGGTAGGGGCGGAGTCTCTCTGGCGGAGGGAGGAGTTGGTGGAGTCAGAGGTGGAGGAGTGACGGGGGTCCGTGCAGGTGAGGTCTCGGGGGACGCCTCAGTGGAAAACGGAGACTGACGTAGACGGATGGACAGGTCATCGGAGGGGCGGGACCAGGAGGGAAGGGCCTTAGGCTCCGCCACTTTCCTTTGCCGGAGGTGGTGTGTGCAGCTGAGGTCATCAGCTCCATTACCTCCATGTCCAGGGATTGGTCCAGATCCAGAATAGGGCCATCTGAGGTCTCCTCCTCATCTGGTCCCTCCTCCTCATCTCTGATTGACTGGTGTCTCTCTGCTGTGGCTATCTCCTCCTTCCCTGAAGGCTCACAATGGACTTGTTTCCATCTTTGGTTGATTCTGTTGCCATGGCAACAAGTTTATTCAGGCTCTGTGATTGGCTATACTCTTCCTCTACATTCCTCCTCTCAGCCAATGGAGGATGGTCTCCTCTAGGGGCCGTGGCCTGAGAGTGATGACAGGAGGACACGGAGACTGTTGGGAAAGAGGGGCCTACAGAAACAAGAACCAGAAGCAATTAGAACTCAGCCTGTCAGAACAACCCAAATTTGACAAAAGGAACTGGTTTGGACCATTGGAAAAAGTGTAAACCAGTCTGCTGGTCAGCACAGCTGGTCGATCTTGGTTCTCACCTGAAGGACAGACCGGACCCAGTAATGGGCTACTCTCCTCATCGTCTCCTCGTACCGCAGTCATCTCAGCAGGATCATTCTTATCTTCTGGACTCTCCATCACTGCTTCTCCTTGCTCTTCCTCAGTGGTCCTCTGCTCTGCTGCAGGAACAACATCAGTTTAGAAAACAATCTGATGTCCCATCAGAGCTGGACCCTCCATGATACTCACCTCCAGCAGGTCCACGACCATGTCCAGAACTAGGCCGTTCAGGGATAAGGCTAAAGTCCACTCCAGAACCACCACAATCAAGATCATGCTCAGTGCAAGCTACTGACTGAACATGGTTACCTGGATCAAGACTGAACTGTAGCTGTCCAGGACCAGGACCAAAATCAGAACCAACATCAGAACCAGACTCTGGAGGCAATGAACCAATGGTATTCCTATCAGAACTTTGCATCAGCTGGACAGGACCTGTTACGGGGCCAGCATGAGGACTTTCTGAACCCACTCCCCCAAGTACAGAACATTCTTGTGAAGTTCTGACAAAGCTAAATGGAGCCTCAAGCGTTGAAGTCAATACTGCAGACGGAGGGCTGACCTGTGAGTGGACAGAGTCTGAAGGAGTAGCAAGGCTTTGAGTAGACTGAGCAGGGTCACCAAGTCTCTGGGACCCTTCACTGGGTTCTGCTGTTTGGACAGCACCAGCATCCAGAACAGAGTGAGAAGGAACAGCAGCACTTTGGATGGAAAGATCAACCGCCTGGACGCAATCTGACAAAGAACCCGGGCTGCTTGGTGCTTGACGAAGGCCGGGACTGGTTCCAGGGTTGGACATGGGTCTGTGGGGCACTGTCCCATCCAGAGCTGGCTTCTGAAGTGGGCTAACAAGTGTTTGTGCTATACAAACAGTATTAGCTTGACCTTGATGACTAGTCCTTGGAGAGACACCGCTTGTAGGAATACTACAAACAGAACTACTAGATGACAGACTATGGGTAGAAGATGTCATTGCAGAGCTGTGGACTTGTGTGGGACTAAAGTCAATAAGGACCTCAGGATGGACCAGTCTGTCCGGGTAGAGCTCTATATCCTTACCCTGACCAGAAATGGAGTCACCAGGTTGAGCCAGTCGTGCTTCAATTAATGATGGAGACATTGGGCCATCTTGTTGTGTTGAGGACTTAGCTGGTATGAGACTTGCTGACTGTCTGGGGTCAGTCTCTATTGGCAAGACTTTGAGACAGAAGGCAGGGTTTGTAGGCATTGTAGGCACTGGCTCAGCTTGTTTGGAACTATCACTTGTGCCTGGTGACAGACTTTTGTAAGGACTCTGGTTTACCTTTGTGTCACAAGGTGAGTAAGTTAGGCTACTGTGTTCAAGAGAAGTGCTACCATTATCAAGGCTTACTGGCATCTGAAGGTCAGGGATGTGAGGCTGGTAGTTCTCAGCAGATTGCACTGTTGAGGAGTCATGGGTGAACTCTATATCTTCCAGTTTCTGTCCACCAGAGTCAAAACTTTGCCTGACCGTCTTGTTGTAGTGGCACTGAGTTGGACTTGCAGGTTGTGAGAACTGTGGGGTCTAGATATCCCCTGGAGAGGGTGAGGGCTACAAGGAGCTGAATATGATTCAAATGCCATCTTGGTAGATGTGCCAGATATCAGTGGTGATTTAGGGTTCAGATTACAGAGATTCTGTGGAAGGTCTGAGCCAGCGGTTGTGTGGTCCAGTGTTATGGGAGATTGCAGATAAGATGTACCAGCTTCCAATTTATGGTTGGGCTGGGAGTTTATGATGCTTGTTGGACTGCATGGTCTCTGTAGCGGTCCCTCAGGTTCCAGATGGTATACTTGTTGAAATCTGGTAGGATTCAGCCCTGATGTACTCAGACTCTGAGGCTGAGCATTGCTAACCAGATGTGCCTGCAGAGATAGAGTATCCAGTTGGACCTCTGTGAAGTCTGGTTCAGAAGAAAGAGAGTTCAAACTGAGCTTAGAAGAACTCTGAAGAACCTTTAGGGGGGACCTTTTGGTTAGACTAGGAGGAGAGGACACTGGACCAGACTCAAATCCTGTTGGACTGGCCTGACATTGAGGAGGCCTTTCAGGTTCAAGTTGGTGTGACGGGCATATTCCTGGTTTTCTGACTGACAGTGTGGTAATGAGGAAGATGACTGTTGATCAATGGAAGCAGGGTGAGATAATGTTGAGCTCGACATACAATGTGCTGGCCTGAAGCTGTCATGGTGATCTTTACCACTACTTTCTTGGAGATGTGGTAGTTCAGCAGCACTTGAATGGATCTCTTTAGGCAACAATATTGCTACTTCTGAGAAGTTTATAAAGTTTAATTCAGGACAGTCTTCTGTCCTTTCAAGAGATGGTGGATGATCTTGTTTGAAATTTTTAGGAGATGTAACAAGACATTGGATTTCAGTCTCTGGATATGGAACCAAACCTTCACCCGAGTTCTTCAGAGGAGGTTCTGGACTTGTACACATGTGGGCTGGAGATGGAGTAGGAGTTTTTATATTTTTCACCAGGAGACTCCACAGATGGTTGCTTAGACTTGAGGGGAGACATTGGCGGAATTTGCTGATCAGAAGAAAGCAGCAGACTTTGATGGGTTGTCTGTAGAGAGGGTGAGAGAGTCTCTTTTAAAGATGGTCCCTGGTTGTTTTTGGTCTCCACTGAAGAAACCTGCTGGCTCTGATCATTAACCTTCTCAACTGTTGATGAAACAAGGTTTTTGTGCGGTTGAGTCTTCTTTAGAGATGGTAGTAGGCTCTTACTGGTCTCCTCTAGAGATGATGCATAATTTTTATCAGGATCTTGTACAAGGTATAAGGGACTTTGGTGGCTCTGCTCTGGAGATGGTCCAAAAGTTGGATGGCTGTCCTCTAGATTTGGTGTAGAAAGTTTCGTAGAAGTCTGAGGAAAATCATCGGCTGGTACTGCAGCACTCCAATGGGCTTCCTCTTGAGGTGCTAAAGGGCTCTGACACAAAGTGAGTGGAAGATGGTTTAGGACAATGCTTGAGTTTTCTACAACATGATTCTTAAGGGACTCCTCCTCTGCAGTGAAAGAAGTACTTTGTGCCGTCTTTAGAAAAAATTCACCAGAGACTTCAGACTCTTCTGGTAAGAGTTGATTGATCGCTGCTGGAAGGGCTGCAGAACTCTGATTGGACTCCTCAGAACTCTGATGTACCACTGAAGGAGATACAGAACTCTGATGGGTCTCGATTGAGGGTACTGATGATGGACTCTGAGGAGTCTCGGCAGGGGTTCTTACAGGACTTCATGGGAGGTGGCTGGAGCTGTCGATGGACTCTCATGGGTTTCTGATGAAAGTGATAAAGGACTCTGAGTCTCAACAAGATCTGATGGGTCTCCGTTGGAGCTGTTGCAGGAGTCTGATGGGTTTTGGCCGAAGGCATAGTAGGAATCTTATGCATCTCTGGAGGTGTTGATGGACTCTGATGGGTCTCGGAAGAAGGTGAAGCAGTACCCAGAGTCTCAACATAGGTCTTAGCTGGAGAGGCTGCAGACCCCGCTGGGGCTCGGCAGGAGGGACGCAGGACTCCGGCCGGGCTCGGCAGAGGGGACGCAGGACTCCGGCCGGGCTCGGCAGGAGGGGACGCAGGCTCCGGCCGGGCTCGGCAGGAGGGACGCAGGACTTCGGCCGGGCTCGGCAGAGGGGACGCAGGACTCCGGTCGGGCTCGGCAGGAGGGGACGCAGGACTCCGGTCGGGCTCGGCAGGAGGGGACGCAGGACTCCGGTCGGCTCGGCAGGAGGGGACGCAGGACTTCGGCCGGGCTCGGCAGGAGGGGACGCAGGACTCCGGTCGGGGCTCGGCAGGAGGGGACGCAGGACTCCGGCCGGGCTCGGCAGGAGGGGACGCAGGACTCCGGCCGGGCTCGGCAGGAGGGACGCAGGACTTCGGCCGGGCTCGGCAGGAGGGGACGCAGGACTCCGGTCGGGCTCGGCAGGAGGGGACGCAGGACTCCGGTCGGGCTCGGCAGGACGGGACGCAGGACCCCGGTCGGGCTCGGCAGGAGGGGACGCAGGACTCCGGTCGGGCTCGGCAAGAGGGAACGCAGGACCACGATGGGGCTCCGCAGGAAGGGACGCAGGACCAAGATGGGGCCGGGTCGGAGGGGATGCAAGGCTCCGGTCGGGCAGGTCAGGAGGGGATGCAGGACCAAGCTGGGGATCAGCTAGTGGGGACACAGGACCAAGCTGGGGCTGGGCCGGAGGGGATGCCGGAGGGGACGCAGGACCAAGCTGGGGCTTGGCTAGAGAGGACGCAGGACTAAGCTGGTGCTGGGCTGGAGGGACGCAAGGCTCTGGTCGGGCAGGGCAGGAGGGACGCAGGACTCCGGTCGGGCTGAGCTGGAGGGGACGCAGGACTCCGGTCGGGCAGGCAGGAGGGGACGCAAGGCTCCGGTCGGGCTGGGTGGAGGGGACGCAGGACTCCGGTCGGGCTGGGCCGGAGGGGACTCAGGACCAAGCTGGGGCTTGGCTAGAGGGGACGCAGGACTAAGCTGGTGCGGCCGGAGGGGACTCAGGACTCCGGTCGGGCTGGGCCGGAGGGGACGCAGGACTCCGGTCAGGCTGGGCCGGAGGGGACGCAGGACTCCGGTCGGGCAGGGCAGGAGGGGACGCAGGGCTCCGGTCGGGGTGGGCCGGAGGGGATGCAGGACTCCGGTCGGGCTGGGCCGGAGGGGACGCAGGACTCCGGTCGGGCTGGGCCGGAGGGGAAGCAGGACTCCGTCGGGCAGGGCAGGAGGGGACGCAGGGCTCCGGTCGGGTGGGCCGGAGGGGATGCAGGACTCCGGTCGGGGTGTGCCGGAGGGGACGCAAGGCTCCGGTCGGGCTGGGCCGAGGGGATGCAGGACTCCGGTCGGGCTGGGCCGGAGGGAAGCAGGACTCCGGTCGGGCAGGGCAGGAGGGGCGCAAGGCTCCGGTCGGGGTGGGCCGGAGGGGATGCAGGACTCCGGTCGGGCAGAGCAGGAGGGGGCGCAAGGCTCCGGTCGGGTGGGCCGGAGGGGATGCAGGACTCTGGTCGGGCTGGGCCGGAGGGGATGCAGGACTCCGGTCGGGCTGGGCCGGAGGGGACGCAGGACTCCGGTCGGGGTGTGCCAGAGGGGACGCAGAACTCTGTTGGGACCGGACTGGAGGGGACGCAGGATTCCGGTCGGGTTGGGGTGATGGGCACGCAGGACTCTGCTGGGGCTCGGCTGCAGCTTGCTGCAGGCTGTGACCGAAGGTTGGTGGTGATATAACAGGTGGTTTGTATTTTGCGAGAGGCGGTGACAACGGCAGGTCAGTCTGCTCAGGTGACGATGTGTGCCTCTGATCTTTGGTCGGGGGAGATGGACTTCTTTCAAGGACTTTTAGTGATGCTGCAACACCGTTCTTCCAATAGGATGGAGACCGTGGAGGATTGAGTTGAAGGTCCTTCTGAGATGTTCCAAGAATGCTTCCACTTGCTACAGAACTTATTGGATCGTCTGCGGAGAGGGTGGGACTAGTTGGAACTCTGATAAGTTTGGACTCTGCAAAGGACTAGGCGGTAGCTTCAGGCAGATAAGCTGGCCTGGATCAGGAGCAGCAGGCGGACTAAGTCCAAGAGAGGCATTATAGGGAGAGGCTAGCTGCTGTTCCAAAGGGCTGCAGGAGGAGCAGTGGTAGAGGTCAGACTCTGCTGTGCGCTCCCCAGCCTGGTCCGAACACTCGGCATGAACAGACCTGAAGCACAGAGAACATCAAACACTCAAAAGGACTGAGGAGGGAAAGTAAACATATTTAACACACATCCTGTCGAAGAGCTGGAAGACTGGTAGTTGTTCAATTACTTCCATCTTTACTGAAGGAAATTGAAAAACTGACTTGTAGTCGGAGGATAACCCCGTTCTAAACAAGTTTACCTGTAGCAGCTGCTGCAGGTCAGACTGTTCTGCAGCGAGGCAAAGTCAACAGCCCGGTAACAGAGAGGACAGGGCAGGGCAGGGTCACATGAGTCGCACAAAAACTGATGATTGGCCCACTGACCCGATGATGTCACACCACATCGGCGACAGACTCTGCAGTTCTGGAGAAAACAGGTCCGATGAGTTCAGCAGCAACAGTCCTAGGCAGTTGTACTTGACAGAGTTTCTAACCTTGCAGGTCCAAGCGCTGTTGGGTGTACCGTCCAGAGGAGGAGAGAGGCAGTGTGTGTGGTAGGCCTTATCACAGCGCTGACACACCAGTAGCAGGCCTTCATCGCCCCGTAACCTGACACACACATATAGAGCTGGTCAGGACCGACAGGATGACCTCTAACCTGCTAACCCTCAGTCCAGCCAACAGTGGTGCTGCACAGTCAGGTACTAGTTCAGTCAGAAGCTCTGTCACCTGCAGCTGCGACACATCCTGCAAGCGGGACACTGCCACCCAGACCGGACCAGAGGGGACGGGGTGAGAGCCGGCTTCAGACAGTGTCCATGGTAACAGCTACCGCAGCAACAGCACATCAACAAGTTGCCGGGTTCGGTTCCGCCCAAACACGACAAACACTTGGAGGAGCCTGTGTAGACAGAGGTTAGTGCGTTTCCATGGCAACAGAGGGTAAACGTGGGGGGAGGCAGAGCTCCGAGTTCCCCCACCTGGGCCGGCGTGCGTCGGGCACAGCGTGAGCCTTTGGGCCCAGTCCTGATGCGCGCCAGCAGCAGCAGCACAAGGGAAGTGGTAGCTCCGCCCACATCCCGTCTCCTGGCAACGCAGCGAAGCACCCAGGCGTTGGCAGAACCCACATACCTGGACAGGTGAGACAGGGGGCGGGGCTTATTAATTTGACCGACCGGTTCCAAAGTTCATCTGGATCCGAGCCAAGAGCCCGTTCAGCATCAGAGTTCCTGAAGGTCTGAAAACACCTGGACGGCCCGGCAGAAGGCTGTGTTCTTCATCCACCAACCCCCCATACAACATCCTGTCACAAACTCACCTGGCTGCTTCCCGAGTCGATGGCTTTGTCCACAAAGAGCAACGACTGGCCGTCACCATGCCGCACACCTTCTGACCAGCGGCACACTGCAGGTGAGCACAGCACTGACCTGCACACAGAGCCAGGTAAGCACACGTATACAGAGGAGGAGAAGGAAAAGGATGAAGGGCTACCTGTGGGGTCGAACAGTGATTGGACGTTGATGTCGTGTGGAAGGCCGATGGGTCCGAGCTGCCGGATGAACTCTGAAGATTCATCTTCTGAAACACAAAGGGACCGTGACTGATCTGAAGCCCTTCAACAGGTGATCACCTGGTAATCTACCATCAGGTGATCGCCTGGTTATCTACCATCAGGTGATCGCCTGGTAATCTACCATCAGGTGATCGCCTGGTAATCTACCATCAGGTGATCGCCTGGTAATCTACCATCAAGTGATCACCTGGTAATCTACCATCAGGTGATCGCCTGGTTATCTACCATCAGGTGATCGCCTGGTAATCTACCATCAGGTGATCGCCTGGTAATCTACAATCAGGTGATCGCCTGGTTATCTACCATCAGGTGATCGCCTGGTAATCTACCATCAGGTGATCGCCTGGTAATCTACCATCAGGTGATCGCCTGGTAATCTACCATCAGGTGATTGCCTGGCGATGAGCTGCACCAGTACTCACCACACTGTGCTGGGCTGCTGCACCTAACAACAAACAGATCAGCTGGTCAGCCTCATCTTTTCAAACCAAGAGTTTCTTCTTTATCTATGAACTGGAAGTGAGGTCACATACGTGGGCGGGGCCCTGTCTCCACGGTAGCAGTGGTCATGGCAGTCATCGACACGATCAGAGGAGGTGCGACGGTTCAAGATGTGGAGCGGGATGTAGCCCGGGGTCGGACCGAACACCACAAGACGCCCCTGGCCCAGAGGAGGCTGGTCGCCACGGTAACAGAAGGCACACTGCTTCAGCCTGCAGGACAGATGAACACATGAACTCAGGCTGTGTGACCATGGCAACGGGTCATTTAATTACGCTTAGTCCAAAGAATATTTTCTCTGAAACCACCCATAACCCATAATTTCCCCTAACCCCAATCCTAACCCACATGACAATCAGTAGCAGCAGGGGCCTACGGAAGAGTTTCCATGGTATCAGCCAGACTCACCGTTTCTTGGCGTGTCCGAGGGTTGGGGCGGGTGAGCCCCCCGATTCCTCTGATGGGGAGTGCTGGAACAGGGGGGAAAGGGAGCCCTCGTCCTCGTCTTCCAGGCAAAGGGACACTGGGGGACTGGAGTGGGGACTCAGCTCTGGATTCTGCTGCACCGGACCGACACCACAGCCTTCCTTGGTGTCCATGGAAACCCTACTGGGACAGCTAGTCTCAATAGGGGTGGGGCTGTGGGTGGGTTCCCCTGGTTCTGGAGCGCAGACCTGAGGGTGCTCCACAGGGACGTACTGTGATAACAGGTCAACAGTAACGGGACCTGTTCTGGTACTGTCTTCCTCCTCAGAAACGGGCGTTGGTTTTGAGCTGCACTTTGGGACTCTGGGCTCAGGAGCTGGTTCAGGACAGGGACTGAGCCCAACCTCGCTCAGTTCAAGGTCTGGATCAGGGTTTTTGTGGGACTTCCGCCTTGAGATGGACCTCCGGGACCCCACAAGCCTCTTAGGTCCCATGGGCTCCTTGGACTCTGGAGGTCCCTTGGTCTTTGGGGGCTCCTTGGGCTGGGGGGGCAGGAGGTTCCTTGGACTCTGGAGGCTCCACCAGCTCTGTGGGCTCCTTGGCCTCCAGGGGTCCTTTGGGCTCTGGAGGTTTCAGTGACTCTGTGGGCTCCAGCAGCTGATTGGGCTCCTTAGCCTCTGGGGGTTCCTTGGGCTCTATGGAGATCAAACAGAGGATTCATTGAAGATTGCAGTAGTCAGAAGAAGCTCAGTGAAGTGGAAGAGCAGCAAAGATTGAGTCAATCAGAAAATGAAGCTGAGCTTTTTTCTAGGACCTTAAGAGAACTAATGAGTTCCTGTGGCTGCAGCTCTGATTTATCATTAAGGCCACCTATCTTTTTCTGGAGTCGCTCTTTCTCTGTAGTCCCCGTGCTTTCTTCACCCTCTCCCTGGGCTCTTCCTCGGCTTCGCCCCCTGCAGGAACACAGGTCAACAGGAATTGTTATTTATGCAATTGCTGCTGGAAACCTGGTTCTTTTGAAAACCAGAATGAAAAGTGTTTCTGTTCATTCAGAAACACCTTAAGAACATGAGCAGAATGACATCACAGTTTGTGTATGGTAGGAAGTAAACTCAGGGGTTAAGTCCACCCTCACCCAGGTGCCTATTTTATCATCATGCCTCTCACCACTTCTCCTGGGATAATAACCACAAACATACTTTTAGACACGGTCATATATCTGTGAGGACCCTAGGTGTTAGTACGTTGCTTGAAGTCAGAGTAAGCAGACCAGACCGGACCAAGTCAAGCCTGCTCAGTTTCCATCCCAGTTCAGTCTGAAGTACATCACAGAGATACTGTTGCTTAGACATCAATACTTGTATAGCAGCAATCACTGATCAGATGATACAGATGGTTTGATTCAGTGCTACATTGTTTATTCCGTTTTCTATCTCCTTTCCCACCTTGTTCACTAGAGAGAAACTTCACAACATCATGCAATCTTCTCATCCACCCCAGCGTCCCAGACGTATTGTTTGGCAGTGCAAAGGGTCTCTATAGGATTTACCAGAGATGCAGATAAAATTAACCTTCCAGGTGAGCTTCTGAAATGTAAACAGTGTGGATTCCATGGCCAGCGTCTAACATTTTCCGCTCTCTAGCCAGTGTCTGCTATCGTCTATTATCGTGTGCTCCCTGGCAAGTGGCTAATCCATGGATGAGATGCTACGCTCCTCTCCCTGACTGATGTCCAATCCATGGGTGAAGTGACATCCACTAACATCAGTTCACTGGCCAGCATCCTCTGCACTCCTTGGCTGATATTTGCTCCCTGTTTATTTTCTGCTCTGAACCCTGACTAATGTCCGCTCCATGATGAGGGACTGCAAACTGGAAGACATCTACTAACGTCTGTCTCTAGCTAACATCCGCCAACTGCTAACACCCACTTCCTCGTGGTGCTGGTACTAGAGTACATTCACAGTCTAGGAGGCTCAGCCAAATTCAAGTGAAACAGAGACTACATTTGAAATGAACCCGAGGCAGAAAAATATCCACACTCTTTGAATCAAGTGAATATCGTCTCATGTCATATGTTGTGATTACATACTCAAACACTCAGGAAGGGAAGAGTTTCTGTTTAGAGAACAGAACCAGACCGAAGACCAAACTAATCCCAGTACCAACCAGGTATCTCCATTTGACAATGAAGAAGTTGTCCTAGGGCAGTGCTTCTCAATTATTTTCCGTTACGCCCCCCCTAGCAAGAAGAAAACTATTCGCGCCCCCCACTCCCCACCGTGACTATCCATCTCTGCATAACATTTTTTCCTTATTAACATTTTTTTCGCTGAAAAAACTCTAGCGGCTTATCGGCGTGATTGGGATGTAACGTATTTAAGTGACGCGCTAATTTATTTGGCTTCATGCTGTCCGCTGCGAGCATTTTTAGACACAGCAAACACAGCGGTCTTTCCTCTTCTCCAACTGTAGTCACAGTGAAGCAAGCGCTAAATACGCTTCGTCGTATTCCTCTTCTTAGCTTTCGGTTGACTTTCTGTTGTCTCATTATCTTTGTCTCTCTCCGCGTTTCTTTTCATCCCTGTGAAAAACTTTTCATGTTGGGGGTTGTTGAATAACGGAGGCCATAGACAGAACGCAGTCGGAGCTTTTTGTTGACTTAACACTGCTAACCAAGGCAAACCTGTTGTCTTGTAAGTCGTAAATGTTGCACTGTCGCAAACGTGACAGAAGTAACAATGAGAGCGCCACTGCCGCCCTGTGCGCAATTACACTTTATACTAGTACGGCCAAAAAAAAGCCTGTTCCCCAGGATCACACGCCCCCCAGGTATCGCACCGCGCCCCCCAAAGGGGGCCCGCCCCACTATTTGAGAAGCACTGTCCTAGGGCAAGACACTTCACCCGCCTTGCCTGCTGGTCCGAGGCCACAGTGGTACTGGTGCATGGCAGCCTTGCCTCCATCAGTGTGACCCAATACTGATGGAGTTGGGTCACACTCCCAATTGCTGTTGTACTAGACAACAGTTGTGGCAATTGTCCAGTAGTTTGAGACCATTAGTGTGTGAACATGTGTGTGAATGGTTGAAAATAGTGTGAAGCTCTTGGTTCTCTGGACATGGATAAAGCACTATACTAATCCCAGTACCAACCAGGTATCTCCATTTGACAGGCCATTTGCCATTTATCATTAGTGGTGCTCTTACTTCTTCTTAGATTTGGGTGAAGGAGGAGCAGGAGGCGCTGGGCGGCTGTGGTTCCCATCCTTCCGAGGTCGCCCGCGGGGTCGCTTCTCAGGGGCGGGGCTCGTGGCTGCAGCTTTGGCCAGCTGAGCGCTGCGTCCAGCCCGCGTCAGGGGAGGTGGGGGTCCTCTGTCCCGAGGCTCCTGAGCCTCAGAGGGCATTCTAGGTGCAAGCAGACAGACAAGGGTTAAAGTTTTCTGTTACCTTACATGACTCCACCCTGACCACAAGAAGACACCACACTAAGCTTATGAGATAAGGAGTCTGGGAGCAAAAATGGTTCACACCAACACATCTAACTGAAGATCAAAGATCTGCAGGTGCCAGCTCGTAGCAGCCAACCAAGCAGAGGTGGGATATTTGCAGAATCACACGACTAATGTTTTTTTTTTTCTGTTATTTTACTTATTGAGTTCAGAAAATTTCAGTCTCTAAGTTTATTTCTACATAATTTCATCTCTTTCAGTTCGACAACTTGTTGCTTTAATATCAGAACTCTTGTTTAATGCTGACTGAACCACTGAGAGGTTCTGGTGAGATGGGACATGTACTGGTTCTACTGTCTGACCAATTCAAGCACTGTGAAGGCAGAACCACAACCATCCATCATCCATCCATCCATCTGTTAACCACCGCCCATCCATCCATTAATCTATCTTTTCATCCGTGGTCCATCAACAGATGGAGCAACTGGGATGCGAACTGGGTTTCCATTATAAATGTGCTCAAATCTATGTTCAGATAATGTAGAAAAATAAAACTGCCCTACTGCATTGTTTTAAATAAGAAATCCACTGAAAATCACGCTTGAATAAATTTGTTCACACCATAAGTCCTCAAAAATCATGGCAGGAACGGATAAACATAATTATAAACTAATAATTCAGCCATGGCGCTCATCATCTATCAGCCGGTCAGAAGAGAGGTCTGCGTCTTATTCAGGCGGTGGAGCGACAAGCCCGCCTACTAAGGGGAAGCTATATATGAGGCGTTTTGGGGAAGTAGTCAGTGATTTAACAGAAGAGCCATGGAGTCAACGTGTTGGCTTGATCTGCTTTTGATGAACTGATGCTGTGAGAGTTCTACTGGAGAAAGCTGGCGTCATTCCAGGAGGCCAGAGTGACAAAAGTACTGGGTACAAACTGATGTTGCGATTAATTGCAGTTTTTACAACATACACCTATTTTAAATGGTTGAAAAATTACCTCATTTGCTATTCCAAGTGCAATTTTATGGGAAAGGAAGCACAGCCAGCGATAAACTGCACATCAAGGAATCTGGGTGGGTTCTGTTGTGAGGGAGAAACTTTGATTACTCAAACCCAGATCACCAACCCAACATCTGCTACTGGTTGGACCTAATGGCTCCCATCAGCTGAGGTTTGCTGTATTCTTTCAGTCAATTTCAGAAGCTGCACTAGATATGTCTTTTTAGTTTGTTATTTTTTGTAATTTTCTAGTTCATTGTGTTTTGGTCGATTTTGGTTTGTTTTTCTACAGCTCTTTGAAGTTTTTTAATCTTCTGGCTATTTTCATTTCTTCTATCAAGAACCAGGAGTATTTCTGGTTTTTGATAGACGAACCAGGAGCTACTCCTATTGAGTTCAGAAATTTCTACATAATTTCATCTCTGCACAGGTGCAGATGATCCAGGTGGATCATCTGCACCTGTTACTATACTTTCATCTACAGTCAACAAGCAGTGGACCAGAGCCATCAAATACATCTTAAACCTCTAACTACTGCAGCAGAAGAGCCCTCTAGGATCGCTGGAGGAACCCTGCCTCAGAACCAGAGTGTTGGACCTGAACACCAAGGAACCTCAGAACCTCCAGTGGACTACAGCCAATCCATCGGAACCACAAAGATTCTACCCCACAACTCAAGTCTACAGTATCTGACCCATCTTAGATCCAAGGTTGGACCCTTAGAGAACTTAAAATCAACCATGTAAATCCTGTAGGACCCAGTGGAACCTTAGAGAACAACTGAGAACATCAGAACGATATAGAACGACACCAGAACCTCTACCTGAGACAGCAATGGACCCTTCAGAACCAGGAACGACCTGTGTATCTCCATCTGACGAGCTGGTACCGATCAGAGGTCAGGGAGGCCCTTTCGAACAGGTGAGTCCTGGTCAGGTGAGCCATAACTATGTGGCTAATCAACTAGCTCCATGCTAACACACCCATCTGTCAGAGGACTGGAGCCGGCTAATAGTAGCCGGCTTTGGGAGACCGGTAGGCGGCCTCCCACACCGCATCAGCCTGGTAAGCCTGTCTGGATGCCCGGACTCAAGCTGCTAATGACAGTCGGTGTAGCCGTTAGCATGTAGCCTCCCCGTTCACTTCGCTGTTAGCATTAGCATTAGCTCCTCGGCTGTCTGTCGCGCGGTGCAGGCTACTGACAGCAGGGCAGGGAGCGGACAGCCGGCCTTGGCCCCCGGTTCGGGGCGAGTTAGCGGCGGAAGGAGGACCGAGACAAGCTGCTTACTGATTTGACGCGGTTCTCCTTTTCCTCTCCAGTTTTCAGTCAACTTAGAGCGACGTGATCAGCACCGAACTTCTGCGACAGAAAACATCTGCTTCTGGTGTCTGCCGTACAGAGCTGCTCCGTGGAAACATTCCCGTGAGCTGTAGAAGGAAAAACACGCAGTTTGGACGCAGATAATTAGTGAGAAATCAAACTTGAAGTGGTCGCACCGTCATGGAGGCCATGTTTGGGAGCGACCGAAGCACCGCCTGTCAGCCCCAGCAGGAGAAGTAGATCCCAGAAAACCTGTCCTACAGCTCCACCAGGTGGCCGCTCTGTCCTGGAACCAGCGCCCGGATGAGGGTAGCCTTCCACCAGACTATGGCCCAGCTGCGTGTCCGTGTGGTCCAGCTTTCTGTCGTAACCGCCTGGTTTGTTTGTGTTGTGTAAAAAGTGTGTGTGACCCCGCGGAGGAATCTGTTGGGGGGCTGCTCCTGTTATGCGGCTGCTGTCATCAGACCAGGGAAACCTGGACCGGATCGGAAGCGGGGGAGATCAGGACTGCAGTTGCACGTGCAGTAAACGCAACACAGGAACTGGACAGATCCGTCCAGAAGGAACGTTCTAGATCATGCGGTTCAGTTCTTGTTTCAACAGGATTCCTCCAGGAGAACTTAATGAACTCTGTAGAACCCGCTCAGCTGATGGTTACCTGGCTGTGGACAACTGTCCAGTGATCCAGACCACCGAATCCAAGATTTTGGACTTTGCACGTCTGATTCTGCAGAATCAGTACTGTGAGAGCTCGCTGTCCAGCTCCAGAACCAGGAAGTGACTGGGTTCAGGTCCAGTACTGATGGGTGGATATGTTCCTGCTTGATGTTGAACCAGACAGTTTTATTAACACGGTACATTTTCAGCAACAAGGAAATCATTTTCACTTGATTAGATGGAAAATAAAACTATCAGTTACAAAGTAGGGTGGCAGGTTAAAAAGCAGACTACTAACCAGGTGTTAACCAGAGAGTTCCTACCCTAGCCTGATTATTACCTGGATAGTACCCAGGTAATAAGCGGGTACTGACAATGTGGTTTAATCATTTTACCAGGTATGATTACTTCTGGATCCATGGTTTAGTATTTGTTTCTCTTCATCAGTGAAACAAATTGTGAAAACTGCTTCTGATTATCTCTACTTTCCTGATTATTTCTAGTCATCTCTATTGATATTTCTACCGTAAAACCAAACAACTGATGATCCAGATTCTAATCCATCTCTGGTTTTATTCAATTCCAACATGTCATCATAATTAAGTTACAAACATCAACAGTGAGTCTTTAAAGTATAGCAGAAAGACCAGGAGGAGGTCTCTGGTCCAGATGAACTCCACGCCACCATCCGTCACTCTGAAGGAGCTGACCCTGGAACTCTTGGTCCCAGTCCAGGAGGAGCAGTGGACGGTGAAGACCTGTCGGTTCCTCTGCTCTCCGCTCCCTTCGTCTCCATTTGCTGGGTTATGTTCAGCTTCCTGTCTGGAGCAAACCAGCCGATGGTCACCAGACGCTGCCAGGCACGGCAGAGATGGGACCGGTCTGCCTCTGAGGAGGGTGGCCCACTAGAACTCCTCCTGATGGGGTGGCAGGTTGCAAAGATGGTGATTTTGTAATCCCTGAGGAACAACCACAGAACAGGACATCAGCTGTTAATCCACAGCATCAGAACCACATGATGGACCAATGCAACTTTGAACTCTAATGCTTGGACATCCTCCTCAAGAACGGAGAACTGTGTTGTTTTACTGGGCTGATTGGATGGAGCGGTTCCTGGTCTGGAGAACATCTGGATTGGGTCCTTGATCCAGTACTGAACATTGGATCCTCGGGTCATGGACTGAGCTCCAGAACCATGAACCTGGGTCAACATCAAAGGACAGGGCCACTGATCTGAGTTTCTGATCAAAGTTGCTACTGATGTACTGCAATTGGACTGGACTCTACTGGATGTGAACGGGTCAGTCCTGCTAAAGACCAAATGAACCAGAGGACTGTTCTCTGGTCAACATCTCCTGGGAAGAACTTTCCATCGAACATCTCAGTTCTTGCACAATTTGTTCAGGCCTTTTAAAAGACACAAGAACTTTCTGTGTATCCAGTTGGACCTGCTGAAGAACCTTCCTCTTGAGCATCTTGTTTTAGGTTTCATTGGCTCTAAAACCTTTAGCCTTTATCTGAAAGTGAATTGACAGGACAGTCAGTAATGAGAGGGCAGGACTGGCCTTAGTCCATGTCCTATGCTTCACCTCTGCACCACCAAGACCTTCCCCCCACCCACTGGAAGCTCCTCATGACCCAGAACTAAATCAAACCCCCACCCTCAGTGTACAAGCTTAGATGGACAGGTAGACTCTTCAGACAGTCCGTCAGAGGTCAACCCTCTACAGACCATTTAGAACCCACTTGAAGGATCCACCTGAGCAGTCGTCCCAGCAGCTCCGAACACCTGCTGAGCTTCTCCTCCTGCTTGGCAACGCTGGCTCCGCCCTCACTGCGATCCGACCAATAGAACGCCGAGATGCTGTCAATGAGAAGGAGCGATGCTCTGGGTCGAGAAGACAAGGTGGTCTCCAGAAAATGAAGGGTGAGAAGGAGTTGGGAGGAGGAGGAGCAGCAGACCACCAGGAGGCGAGTCAGACAGGAGCGCAGAATCGCATCATCAAACCCGGCAGAACCACCTGTTGAGAAAGGAACCAGTCATGTTCTAGTAAGCTCATCTGAAGTCTTCAAACCCTATAGATGTCGTTAGCTTCACCTGCACTCAGTCGACTGTCCAGAACACTGGCCAGCCGGAACACGTCCAGACTGTAGTCTGTGTCCACAAAGACAACGTCCACCTCCAGACCCCAGCCGCCTCCGGCAGGATGCAGCGACACAGCAGGTGGTAGAGCAGCTCCGTCTTTCCTGGAGACACCCGAACACAGGTCTTAAGTGGGTCAGGGCATGGACCCATGGAACCAATGAAACCTTACCTGTCCCCTCCGGACCGTACACCTCCACCACCTTCCCTGCCAGAGTCAGACACACAGTCAGAAACAACCTGATCACTGGTCAGCTGAGAAGTAGTGGGTGGAGTGACATACCACGGTCAGGTCCTCCATCATCAGCAAACAGCCGAGGCTCAACGTCCTTCAGACAGCGCCGGGCCTCGAGACGGGCAAACAGCTGCAGGGATATACACTGAACTAACACCAGGATATAGACTGAACCAACACCAGGATATAGACTGAACCAACACCAGGTAATATACTGAACTAACACCAGGATATAGACTGAACCAACACCAGGATATAGACTGAACCAACACCAGGATATGGACTGAACCAACACCAGGATATGGACTGAACCAACACCAGGATATAGACTGAACCAACACCAGGATATGGATTGAACTAACACCAGGATATAGACTGAACCAACACCAGGATATGGATTGAACTAACACCAGGATATAGACTGAACCACACCAGGATATAGACTGAACCAACACCAGAATATAGACTGAACCAACACCAGGATATGGACTGAACCACACCAGGATATGGATTGAACCACACCAGGATATAGACTGAACCACACCAGGATATAGACTGAACCAACACCAGGATATAGACTGAACCAACACCAGGTTATAGACTGAACCAACACCAGGATATAGACTGAACTACCACCAGGATATAGACTGAACCAACACCAGGATATGCACTGAACCAACAACAGGATATAGACTGAACCAACACCAGGATATAGACTGAACCAACACCAGGTTATAGACTGAACTAACACCAGGATATAGACTGAACCAACACCAGGATATAGACTGAACCAACACCAAGATATAGACTGAACCAACACCAGGATATAGACTGAACCACTACCAGGATATAGTCTGAACTACCACCAGGATATAGACTGAACTACCACCAGGATATAGACTGAACCAACATCAGGATATAGATTGAACCAACACAGGTTATAGACTGAACTAACACCAGGATATAGACTGAACCAACACCAGGATATAGACTGAACCAACACCAGATATAGACTGAACAACACCAGGTTATAGACTGAAACAACACCAGGTTATAGACTGAAACAACACCAGGATATAGACTGAAACAACACCAGGATATAGACTGAACTACCACCAGGATATAGACTGAACCAACACCAGGATATAGACTGAAATACCACCAGGATATAGACTGAACTACCACCAGGATATAGACTGAACCAACACAGGTTATAGACTGAACCAACACCAGGTTATAGACTGAACCAACACCAGGATATAGACTGAACTACCACCAGGATATAGACTGAACCAACACCAGGATATAGACTGAACTACCACCAGGATATAGACTGAACCAACACCAGGTTATAGACTGAACTACCACCAGGATATAGACTGAACCAACACCAGGATATAGACTGAACCAACACAGGTTATAGACTGAACTAACACCAGGATATAGACTGAACCACCACCAGGATATAGACTGAACCAACACCAGGATATAGACTGAACCAACACCAGGATATAGACTGAACCAACACCAGGTAATATACTGAACTAACACTAGGATATAGACTGAACCAACACCAGGATATAGACTGAACCAACACCAGGATATAGACTGAACTAACACCAGGATATAGACTGAACCAACACCAGGATATAGACTGAACCAACACCAGGATATAGACTGAACCAACACCAGGATATAGACTGAACCAACACCAGGTAATATACTGAACTAACACCAGGATATAGACTGAACCAACACCAGAATATAGACTGAACCAACACCAGGATATAGACTGAACCAACACCAGGATATAGACTGAACCAACACCAGGATATAGACTGAACCAACACCAGGATATAGACTGAACCAACACCAGGATATAGACTGAACCAACACCAGGATATAGACTGAACCAACACCAGGATATAGACTGAACCAACACCAGGATATAGACTGAACCACTGATGAAAGGACACTACCACCAAACTTGAGATGAACTTTTACTTTGAAAAGCCTTAGGGCTGAACCTGAACTGGACTTTTACTGTGAAAGTCCATTAAAACTCCATACCAAGTTTTAATATCAATCTTAAAGTAATCTGAGATGAAACAAATATTTAGTAAGTTTTGGGGGGGTTTTGCACAGCTGTAGATTTTTTCTGTGCCAGTTGATGTACAACTAACCGGAGCTGGGATTTCATTTTGAAAACCCAACAGACAGTTCCGGTGTTAAAAGTCTGGACTCTAAACTCGGTTATGGAGCGATGTCGACCACCACAACCAGGTCACCTGTCCGCGTCACAAGCTCACCTGAGTCCCGCTCTCACTCATCTCTGTCCGACCTTCCTCTTCCTCTTCCTCATGATCATTTGCGCGGGAACGCTTCGACTTCCGCTCGCCAGGTTGGAGCCGAGGCGATGGCGGGAACATGATTTAGGTTCGTTGCCGGTTCGGAAAAGCCCAGACGGACTCATTGAAGAGAAACAAGAAGCGTCGGTTTATTACGGCGAAAACGCAACCGGTGAATCGGTTTGTTGACGGTGACATCACTTCCGGTTGATGACAAAATAAGACTCGGTTTTTCACAATAAAAGTGTGTGTGCATAAAGGGGTAGTCCGCTTCAAAAGAACATCTCGGCTTTTCTTCATCCCCATCACGAACATAAACCAACTTTTATATGGAGGAAGAGGAGCCCATATGAGGAAGACGCCTGAGGTTCAAGTGATGAAGATAGAGGGCCAACGCTGTAGTTATGAATCATGTGTTGAAACTGAAAAGGCCAATAGAAACCGTTTCTTTCTCTATGCAACCTTTAGTTCAGTAAGTCATGTGTTTTCTCTGTCTGTAGAATTTTAATGCATTATTATATAGAGAACAGCTGAAATCAACAATGAGTGTCAAGTTTTAATGTCAAACTTAATAAAATGATAGATGAAAAAATATTTTGTCTTTTTTTTCAAATAAGTCAGGCCTCTCTGCCTTGTCTATGTGTCAGTGACTGACTGACGGCACCTGAACGCACCATGTCTCTCAGTGAATCCAGCAGTGTTGAAATTTCATTGACCTTAGAATTTTTTATGAAGGTCAGTTTTCATTTCTTTACAAAAAATAAAGATCTTTAGAGCTGTGGGTGAAGCAGAAAAACAAACAGGATCGGGTGAGAAAATATGTACTCTCCCTTTAACACAGGTCCAAACTCCTGCTGGTTCTGGTTTATCTCGGTAGGCCGTGTATTCAGTACAGCATCAGTGGTGATCTGTTCAAAACATGACTGAGAGTGATGGTGAGAAAACATCCATCAAAGAATCCAACCAGACAGCGCCCCCTTGTGGAGGATTAGTGATTGAACACAGAAGTTCAATTACAAACATTGGAGCAGTCTCTCAGAGCTGACAGTGTACATCTCATGACAAAGAACAGCCCAATATGGCTGACTGGAGGTCTAGAGCTTCTGCTAGAGAGAACAAACATGAGGGAGGAGGGCCACAGGAAGTCAGCAGGGCGGTCAGAGAGGACCCAACACCTGCAGCTCTGCAGGCAGTCTGACAAATGCACAGATGATAGAGAATCAGAAGAAGAAAGAAGGGAAACTGAACAACCTGCGACCCTTTATCAGTTCTGGCTCAGTTACACCTGCTTATTAATCACCTAAACATGAGCTCTTCACTATTTATATTCATGACTTTGTAAACTCTTCTAAAATATTTCATAAACTTATTTTACTGATGATACAAACTTGTTTTTTCACATGCAAATCTAAATGAACTACAGGAAATAGTAAATGTAGAAAATAAATACCTGGTTTAGTTTCTCCTAACACCAGCAAAACTAATTTTATTTTGTTTAGAGTGAATAAATGTTTATCATTCACTGATCATATAAATCTTAAAATTGGAAATGAGGAAATAATGAGAGTTCTCCAAGGTTCCTGGGGTCTTCATAGACGAGTTCTGAAATTGGCCGGAAGTATTTTAAGCTACTATTTATAAAACTCTTGAGCCGCATATTAATTAGTGGAATGTTATCAGGAATCTCCTTCAAAAGAAGAGGAGAGCCGATTCTGGTCCCAGTTTAACCTCCCATCCATCCCATCGCTTCGCTTTCCTCCAGTTAACTGAAACAAATGTGACCAGAATGTGAACAAAACTAATCAGATTCATAAATTGACAGTTTGCTCCAATCAGAAGCCTCAGCGCTTAGATATGGTTCAAAAAAATTATTACCAGAAAAACTTTTGCTTGGAGGGTCCAAAGCTTGAAACTCATCTCCACTTAAAAAAAGCTGAAATTGTTTTATTAATCCATTTGTGATCAATTGTCGGTCTGCCTGCGTTGTAGAGATAGAATGAGGAATGAAGGTTAGTAAAAATGGATGAATTTCATGTTCACTGATTCATTCACTCACTTTGCAGCTATGATCTGGAATATCATGTTATTATGGAATTTATTATGAATGAATAAACTGAATACTCGGAATATTCTGCGGTACCGACCCAGCAGAACCAGTCCTGGCCAAACAGTGTGAACCAATGAGCTTGTTGTTGTTGTAATGACGTCACTAGCAGCTGATTCGGTCACTGTCCCTTTAACGGAACCTAACCCGCATTAATGTCTCTCGTGATGTCGCTCTGTCCTCGTGCGCGTGTCCTCACCCGGTCCCGCAGTCTATCACGCAAGGCGGCAGCTGCAGGGTCATGTTGCGGTCCCGCTCCGGTTCGGTTCGGTCCGGTCCACGCCGCTCTGCGTGCTGAGTGTCCGGTGTGTGCGGTAATGATGAAGAGAGCGTCCTTGATGCGTGTGCGTGCGTAGGACGAGCACTTCCGGGTCGAAAGCAGAACCCAGAACCCTCTGGTAACTGGACAGGAGATGCGTTCAGGTGCTGCCAGGAGGGCCGGAAGTCCCGGAGAATGATGATGATGATCAATCAGTCAAAGTTTATTTGTGTAGCTCCCTTTCTTTTTCTGGCTGGTGTAGGGGATGTAGAACCAGAACCGGGTTAGAACCAGAACCGGGTTGTGTAGAACCAGAACCGGGTTGTGTAGAACCAGAACCGGGTGTGTAGTAGAACCAGAACCAGGTGGTCCAGCAAATACTTGGTGGATCTTAATCAGAGGTTTGAACGCCTGAACTCCCTGAAGACCAAACTGGATCAGAACCAGGACTATGAACTTGACCAAGTTTTGATCTAGTTCTGGTTCTGTCCCAGTGTTGGTTCTACTGGGTCAGTGCTTATGTAATAAACCAAACTCAGCCAGAACCAGACTGACCAGCAGAGGCCAGACAGGTTCAGGTTGTTGATGTTGCAGAAGAACCAGCAGAGACTCCGAGTCCAAATGTTTTATTAGAATCAGTGATCAGCTGCAGTTACAGAGACAATGACAGAACACTCGCATGCTGGACCTGTCGGACCCGCGGGATCAACAGAACCGGCGGGATCAACAGAACCGGCGGGATCAACAGAACCGGCGGGATCAACAGAACCGGCGGGATCAACAGAACCGGCGGGATCAACAGAACCGGCGGGCTTCTTCATCATCAGACTGTTAACTCATCGATGACATTGTGTTCAGCAAAAACATTTTTTATTTTAAGTTTTATGTTTGGTTTCATATGAAATGGTCCTAGTGAGACAAACCAATCAGGAAGTGTCTTCAGGTGAATTTCATCCAATCAGATCTCATCCAGCTGCACTGGAGGCAGATCAAGGGTCCGTCTGTTTCTGTGCATGGTACCATCAGATGTTTCTGGTACCATCAGATGTTTCTGGTACCATCAGATGTTCTGGTACCATCAGATGTTTCTGGTGATTTAATGTGAAACTTTCCTTTTCAGTGTGTTTCAGGACATCATGTGGTTCTGATTGGACTTCCTGTTGGTTTCTGCGAACCAGAGGATCAAACATGTTTCTGTAACTTACTGGAGCTGATGAAAGACTCTAACTATCAGAGGTTTGGGTCAGAGGGTCTGGGTCTCTGGAACCGGCTGGCTCTGCTGTCTTCTACTTGAGCTTCAGATCTTCTGCCAGACACGGATCCAGCTCACACAGCGCGGCGATGAAAGCCGAGCTGGCCTTGGGGCCCTTTTTACGGACCATGTCGACCACGGCCCGGACTTTTTCCCCCTGGGTCTGAACATCGAACTCGAGCTCACAGTCGTTCATGATCTTGTTCTCCAGCAGTTTGTCCAGAATCTGCTGCAGAACCTGCTTGGAGATTTTCCTACAAGCTTTGTTCTCACCGAAAGCAGAACCTCAACCGGGTCGGCCTGGGAGCTTGAAGACGCACCTGGAAAACGAGTCAAAAACTGATGTCAGGATGCTGATGATGGACTGAAACTGTAACAGAACCTGGTCACTACAACAAACCCTGACTTCTATGACTGGCTCAAACTATGAAGGTCATAATAATCCAAGAATATTGTACAAGATTAAAAACACAAAATAAACAGCAAAGAAATTGTAACAAAATAACTACAAAATTAAACTGACCAAACTTCTGCAATCTGGAGCTGACTTTAAAAATTGTGGCAAGTTTTGGGTTGAGAGGGTTCGTGTGGTTCTGGAGGACCCGATACTTTAATCTGACCTGAGGTTCTGTTACTGACCTTGAGCTGCAGCTGCAGCTGCAGCTGCAGGACACAGATCTGCCAGCTTCTTCACCAGGTCATTCCTGTTGATCTTCTTCAACATATTCATCATGACTTGTCAGCTCCATCCATTTGGTACGTCTGCACCATCAGGTCCACGACGTCCATCCTGTCCGCCTTCTGCAGCCGGCTGCTTTTGATCGGTTGGATCCCATTCCAGGTTTCCTTCTTCAGATGCCAAACGAAGGTGTTGAAATTGTCATCTGGCAGGTCATCCAAGATATCAATAAGATTCTCTTCTGTGCACATCTTGACCTACAGCTGAAATCAGAGGAAAACACGAGTCAGAAGTTCACTTGATAATCAGTTGAATCCTGGAGAACTCGACAGCACAAAGGAAGCAGCTGAGCCGTTTGACCAGGAACCCGCCTAACCATTGGAGCACACCGGACCTTGGACTGGAGACGTAGACTGGAGATATAGACTGTAGATATAGACTGGAGATGTAGACTGGAGATATAGACTGGAGATATAGACTGGAGACGTAGACTGGAGACGTAGACTGGAGATATAGACTGTAGATGTAGACTGGAGATGTAGACTGGAGATATAGACTGTAGATATAGACTGGAGATGTAGACTGGAGATGTAGACTAACCCTAACCCTCTACTGGTAACGTCTGCTTGCTCAGGAAAGATGGAGGCTTCATGCAGCTTCACTGGTTTCTCTCCAGGACTGATACATAGTGGCAAAAATGTGGAAAATCTAATTTTGCAGTGGAGGCAACCATGACGCTGCTTCCTGGTGAAGGTTGAAGTGAAGAGGCTGCGTGTTAATTCTACACTGTTCTGTACCTAAAGCATCAGGACTCGTGTTGTAGAAAAGGAAACAATCTGGGTTCTCATCAGTGGCATGTAAGGAGAAAGTTTTCTACTCTGCTCAAAAACATGACCCAAGATGCAGAACTCTGTGCAAACCTGCTCTGAAAGCTGCCTGACGAGTTTCAGGTGATTTCCACAGAACTGGGTGTGAGAGATCAATGGAACTCAAAGCATGTTGGGCTCACAGATTACAGTGAGACCTTCTCAGCAGCCCCATTCAGTTCTGACTGAAATCTCAGGTGAGTTCCACAGAAACAGGCCCTTACCTGTAGCACCACACGACCTCGCCCTCCATACTCGTCCCCCCATCCCTACGTCCCTTTCCTGTCGTGTGACGTCACAGAGAGCAGAACATTAATGCTCCAGTCCACAGAAGGTTGGATCTGTGGGACGGTTGATGTGCATATATATAATCCCAGACCCTCACTAGGATGGTGATGTGATGCGTATGAGTCAAGTTAAATCCCAAACCCCATTACCGCCTGTTTCCCAGGAAGAACGGTTTCTGATGAAGCTGTGCAGGTTCCGACTGGCTGAAGTCTGACTTTCTTCCAGCTCAGAGGACGAAGCCGTTATCGCCATCAGTGGACAGAAACAGGAAATTGCAAACAGCTGGCTGACCTCCTCTCTGCTTCTGTTTGCATAGCTAGTGAAGGGTCAGAGGTCGTACTCACCGGCTGTCCGACGGAGCTCAGCGATGCGTTGCTTGCTGTGTGAAGACGGCGCTGTTCTGCTGGATCGACCCAAACTGAGCTGCTTCCGGGTTCCTTCCACAGAAACCCTGAAGGGCTTCTCAGAAACCGGTTCTGTTGCTCCAACATGTCCGAACTCATGTCTGATCAAAACCTGCAATCTGGAAGCTCACCTTCTGCTTCCTCATCACCAAAGCTACAGTCTAAATCCGGCGCTGCTTCTGCGTGGTGCAGCAGAACCTGTGAGGAGGTCAAAGCGGATGACGGACATTTACTCTGGACCGGTCCGTCTGAGCGACGGTTCCGACGCGTTTCGCTACAGGAAACATGGAGTTTAACCAACGCTGGGCTTTGATGGCAACTATTCATTCATTAAAGGCTGGAGTCGGTTGTTGCTGCAGAAATGTCAGCAAAATCCTAGAAAAAGCTTTTCAACAGTTCAACAGTGACGACGTTCAGTCTGGATTCCATGGTTACCACAATACTGAGACTGGCCTAGTCAAAGGGTTCAGTGACACTTTATGTGTCGTGCATAGCGATTTCTCAAGACCACAGGATCTCAAAGTGCTTCTCAATACAGTCAGGGCCAAACTGCTGTAGCCACAGCTGGCGCCCTCTGCTGGCTGGGTGGAGCAGGGATCGAACCAGCAACCTGCCAATTACCCTAACCCAGTGCTTCTCAAATAGTGGGGCGGGCCCCCTTTGGGGGGCGCGGTGCGATACCTGGGGGGGCGTGTGATCCTGGGGAACAGGCTTTTTTTTGGCCGTACTAGTATAAAGTGTAATTGCGCACAGTGGGCGGCAGTGGCGCTCTCATTGTTACTTCTGTCACGTTTGCGACAGTGCAACATTTTACGACTTACAAGACAACAGGTTTGCCTTGGTTAGCAGTGTTAAGTCAACAAAAAGCTCCGACTGCGTTCTGTCTATGGCCTCCGTTATTCAACAACCCCCAACATGAAAAAGTTTTTCACAGGGATGAAAAAGAAAGCGGAGAGAAACAAAGATAATGAGACAACAGAAAGTCAACCGAAAGCTAAGAAGAGGAAATACGACGAAGCGTATTTAGCGCTTGGCTTCACTGTGACTACAGTTGGAGAAGAGGAAAGACCGGTGTGTTTGCTGTGTCTAAAAATGCTCGCAGCGGACAGCATGAAGCCAAATAAATTAGCGCGTCACTTAAATACGTTACATCCCAATCACGCCGATAAGCCGCTAGAGTTTTTTCAGCGAAAAAAAATGTTAATAAGGAAAAAATGTTATGCAGAGATGGATAGTCACGGTGGGGAGTGGGGGGCACGAATAGTTTTCTTCTTGCTAGGGGGGGCGTAACGGAAAATAATTGAGAAGCACTGCCCTAACCTAACATCGCCACCATAAACTGGAAGAACCACAGCTCTGGTTCTGGTTCTGTTGGACCTCAGTGCTGAGCTGGTCGGACTCTCTGGTCCAGTTCTGGACTGGTTCCAGTTTGACATAAACTGGGATTTCTTTGTTTCAGTAGGAGACTTCTCAGGGAGGTCAGAGGTCACATGTGGGGTTCCCCAAGGCTCCATTCTAGAACCTCTTTGATTCAATATCTACATTTTCCCACCGGCTCAGGCTATAGCAGGAAATAAGATCAGTCACCAAAACGACGCAGATGATACGCAGCTCTACATTATGATGTCACCAGGTGACCTTTGACCCCATCCGAGCCCTGAAAACAGATAAATGTGTGGATGAGACAAAACCTTGTGAAACTGGAGTTATTATAGAGCAGTGCTTCTCATTTCCTGCTGCCCTGCATGTCTCAGGTGTTTCCCTGCTGCCTCACCTGGACTCAATCTGTGCTGATTGACAGAGGAGGTCAGAGGTCAGAGGAGGTCATGCAATCATTTGGATCAGCTGTTCTGGAGGAGAGGCTCATCTAAAACATGCAGAGCAAGGGGGGCCTGAGGACTGTCAGAGGAATGATCTAGAGCTGCAGATCTAGAGTTATTGCCCGTATTCCTGAGAGGCTGACAGTGGAAACCATTACAGCTCTTCCAGTATTTCACTGTAATTTATGGCTTTGCTGCTAATCTATAGTCTTGATATCTCTTCTTATTATTGCTGTTGTGCAATATGAAGTAAAAATAGACGGCGTCTGCTATCAGAAATGCTCAGAGTCTGAGTTCAGTTCAGCAGCAGAACTGCAGAATATTAACTCAGTGTGAAGTGAATTTGATCTGAACTTTGAAAAGTTTCTTTAAACAGAACATTTCAGAACCAGAGGACTAAAAATCTGAGAAGCTTTGATTCCAGCAGCAGGTCTGATGACAAACCAGCAGTCCAGACGGTTCTGACTAGAACCAGGAGGATGGAGACACATACTGCTTCTGGACCTCCTGGTTCTGGACCAACTGGTTCTAGACCTACTGGTTCTACTGGACCTACAGGTTCTGGACCTACTGGTTCTGGACCAACTGGTTCTGGACCTACTGGTTCTGGACCAACTGGTTCTGGACCTACTGGTTCTGGACCAACTGGTTCTAGACCTACTGGTTCTACTGGACCTACAGGTTCTGGACCTACTGGTTCTGGACCTACTGGTTCTGGACCAACTGGTTCTGGACCAACTGGTTCTAGACCTACTGGTTCTGGACCTACTTCTTCTGGACCTACTGGTTCTAGACCTACTGGTTCTGGAACTGGTTCTGGACCAACTGGTTCTGGACCTACTGGTTCTGGACCTACTGGTTCTGGACCAACTGGTTCTGGACTTACTGGTTCTGGACCTACTGGTTCTGGACCTACTGGTTCTGCACCAACTGGTTCTGGACCTACTGGTTCTGGACCAACTGGTTCTGGACCAACTGGTTCTGGACCTACTGGTTCTGCACCTACAGGTTCTGGACCTACTGGTTCTGGACCTACTGGTTCTGGAACAACTGGTTCTGGATCTCATACTAATAGATCTTTAACAGCACCATGAAGGAGACTGTAAATAAAATATTGTAGAATAATTAATAATTACAGATGGTAGGAATATCACAGCTATTTTACATTAAAATGAATCATTTCAAAAAGTGACAGTCGGATATGAAAAACTTACAGACTCAGTTCAGTTTGACGTTCAGTCGATCAAGGAGCTATCGCTCATGAGTCCGTTACTGTGGAGACGGAGCAGAAGCCTGCAGTTTGTCATGTCCGCCACTAGGAGGAGACGTCGGTCATTTCCAGGCAAAATAGTCTTATATTTATACTTAAGAACTAAAACAACAAAAAACATGTTTACATTAAATAAACTTTTACAAAATGTAGATACACAAAAACAATGACTAGAGTAATTAGTCAAAAATAATATTTTGATTTTTCTAATTTCTTTTTTTCTATATTTTAGAACTTTGTTTAAGAACTGATTTCCTAAAATGATTTATAATGTCTGATGGAAGGCAGCTGCCAATATATGATCTGATCATCTGAATTGCAAATCTTAAAGTGATATTTATTATATTGCTAACCCAGCCATATTATTATTTTGGTTAATATTTTCAACCCTTTTAAACATGAGAAAATGAACTGTCACTTTCCACATGGGTGACATGATGTAAGTGGCCCATATTTGGGATGGACAGATCTGGCCCAGGTGTGTGGAGCCATCACTGGCCCAGGTGTGTGGAGCCATCACTGGCCCAGGTGTGTGGAGCCATCACTGGCCCAGGTGTGTGGAGCCATCACTGGCCCAGGTGTGTGGAGCCATCACTGGCCCAGGTGTGTGGAGCCATCACTGGCCCAGGTGTGTGGAGCCATCACTGGCCCAGGTGTGTGGAGCCATCACTGGCCCAGGTGTGTGGAGCCATCACTGGCCCAGGTGTGTGGAGCCATCACTGGCCCAGGTGAGGCCTGCCTCATGTGAACCTGCCCTCATTGGCACATCTGGCCCAGTCTGGTTGACATCCAGTTTGCATGTCTATGGCAAGCCGTTTTAACATAAATTCGGTTTTGCCGCCCTTACGTTCCAGATATCTCAAATGACTAGACGTTTTAGCAATTTAAGATATCTCTAATTACATTCTGACTAGTTAAATTGACGTCAAATTTACCATTGATTTGTATGAAGATTCAGTTCAAAATATCTACAATGAATTACTGACTACCTGAAATACACATTTCAGATATCTATAATTAAAGTATGACTAGTCAAAATTATAATTCAAGATGTCTCGATTGTAGTTTTGACTAGTCAAAATGTAATTGAAGATATCTTTAATTATTATTCTAACTAGTCAGAATGTAAATGCAGATATCTTAAATTACCATTCCGGATAGTCTAAATGTAGTTTTGTCTAGTCAAAATGCATTTTCAGATATCTGGAACGTAATTACGGATAGTCAGACGAAACCGAATTTATGCTAAAACGGCTTGCCATAGCTGTGCCAGCAGAATGCCAGATCCGGGCCAGATCTGCCACGTGGGACTAAAGATACCAGAATTAGCTACAAACAGCTAAAGTAGCATAGCTCACAGTCATTAACTCCCACTAACAGAAAAACATGAGTATCAAGAGTACCAGAGTATCAAACTACCAGACATATAAAACGTAATGTGAAATTATTCATAATTTCTCTTTGTCTCATTATAATCGGAAACCAAAGCGTGCAGGTTTAACTTGCACTTACTTCTGAGAGCAGACCTGTTCCTTGACAGCCGCCACCTAGTGGTCAACCACGTGATCTCACCTGTACCGCTCAAAAACGCACGTAGAGCTTTGGAAAGTGACGTCACTGCTCTAGGCGTAACAGCCCCGCTGTGATTTTGCAAACCTCAAAACGTTTTTATTGCTCCTAACATTTAGATTATGTGACACAATAGCAAAGACGGTTATTTATGTGTAATTCTTTCAATCTGTCTAAAGTAAAATAGTTCCTGTTTTAATTCAATGCACTGATGAATCTCTTAAGCTGTAAACTTTAATACATATTATTATGGATTAATTATTTAATCAATTTATTTCTACATGATTGCATCATTTACTGTTTGTTTATTTATAAATATGTATTGATATGTCTAAATGATATCTTAAAATCTTTTGACAGGTTGTGTGCTTTATAAAATGCTCATCATAC